GATGTCTCAAACACCATTCATCACACACACAAGAACACTGCAGAGGCCTGGAGTCTGGAGGGTGGCTCAGACCAGGCATCACACAGATCAGGGGTCACAAGCGTAGGAAATCTGCCAGGTCGGGGTCCCACAGGAGGGGAGTCTGGGGCACATAGATCAGGGGTGGCGGTCATGCTGGAGTAAGGATACAGGGAGGATGCAGGAGGTTCTGCTGATCCCATTGACTCACAGGCACACTCCCAGAGTGGGCAGCAGCGGTCCCCACCCACCCGCACGGCGAGGCCCAGGATCCCACAGCGAGGGGGAGCAGCGCCTTGGGGACAGTGCTGGGACTGATTCACGCGGATCAGCTGGCCCTCCAGGCAGATGTGGCGGACGCAGTCCTGCTCGGCGATTGGCTGGGTACAGAGTGGAGGAAGTGTGAGTGCCCATCGAGGAGCTACAGCCCACCCTGCAAGCCATGAGGGCACCCAATCCTTCCCACATATAGGCCCTAGTGGAGCAAGGGACCTTCTAGGGAAAGATGCCCTCACCCCCCACCCACTGACAAGCCATCTGGGGCCTGGCACTGTGCTTAGTGTGAGCTCGGAGGTCAGGGAATGATTCTTGGAGACCTCTACAGATCTGCCTGGCCTGCGCTGAGAGGTCTGGGTACACAGGCATGCATATACACTAGTTCACACTCACAGAAACCCTAGCATACCTGCGCAAGCCTGCGCGCGCACACGCGCACAGACACACACATACAGATTCTCACAAAGGCACAAAGATGCACATGAGGATGTCTCAAACACCATTCATCACACACACAAGAACACATGCAGACACACGAGCGCTCATACTGTCTCACACATGTGAACACAAACGCACACAGCAGACTCACAAAAGACACACACCAGCACACACACATTGTCACCTGGGCATCACACTAGGCCATCCAATCAGCCCCCCAGGGCCTAGATGGGCCAGGCGGAACCCTGCTATGGCATTGGGGCCAACAGGAGACTGGAGAATTTTTCAGGGACCAGGAGCTTGGGGCAGGAATGAGGATAGCAACTAAAACTCCATCTAGCAGGGAAGAGGGAAGGGATGAAGGGTGGGGTCACATAAGGAGGAACAGAACCCTGACAAATCACTCACAACACAGGTGGTGGATGTATTGGCCTCAGTGGTGGTTGCCAAAGCCTCCGCCAAACCCTCTACGATGCTCAGGGCTGGGGCTGAGCGCCCAGATGGTTCTGTGATGGCCTCGTCCACGGGCTCTGCTGCGAGGTAAGCCCCTGCCGAGGTTCCATGGGCCTCAGCCAGCTGAGGCAACAGAACCAGCGTGCTGTCTTGGGGGGCCGTCCTGGCTGAGACGGGGCTCAGGGGATAGGATGTGGGCACTGGCAGAGCTGTGCCTGCCTGGGCTCCCTCGGGCTCAGTCACCAAGGGGGTGAGAGGGTGGCTCGTGGCAGGCATGAGCTCTGTGGGCCCACCCTGGGCAGAGCCATAGATGGAGGTGGGCAGAGACACTTGCTGGGATAGGATGGCCACCTTCCCTGTGGTGCTCTTTCGTGAGACAACAGATACTGTGGAGGCCATGCCCTCAGTCACAGGCAAGACTCCAGAGGTTGGCAACGTGGCTCCCAGCAGCAGGCCTGGAGCTATGCCCGCTGCCGAGGGTGCTATGTGGGCAGGTGGGTATGCCTGGGTCATTGCTGCAGGAGTGAAAGGCGGTGCTGGGCTAAGTGTCTGAGCAGGCAGAGTCATGGCCTGTGACTGGAGTGGAGTGGTGATGACAGAGGCTTTGGGGCCAGGGGTGGCCACTGGGGCAGATGTGCCCACCTTGGCCAGGGGCAAGCTGGTGTCGGGAGGCAGGCCAGAGAGGAACTGGGATGGACCAGTTGACTCTAGGGACACGAAGGGTGTGGCTCCCAGCCCATGAGCAGCTGTCGACAGGCTGGCGGCAGTTGGGGTCTCTGGGGGCAGAGCTGGAGACCTGGTGGCCGTGGTGGTATGCTGGGCTGTGCGGGGTGGTGCAGTGGAGAGTGGGTGTGGCTGTGGGGAGGCAGGCGAGCCCATGGGCTGGCTGTGCCCGGCTTCGCCCTTCTCTGTGGGCAGCACCATCTCCGCGCTCCTGGTTGTGAGGGGACTGACAGGAACCTGTTCTGCTGCTGTTCTAGCCACAGTTAGAGGGGTGCTGGGACTTGAAGCACTCTGGGCCTGGGTAGGCTGGGGGACCCCTGTCCTGCTTATGACCTTAGTTACTGCAGGTGTCAGCACAGCCTTGTGGGATCCCGAGGAGGTGGGGGACCTGGAGATGGCTCCAGGGGAAGCCACAGGTCTGGAGGAGGGACTTGCTGTCAAGGAGGGCTGTAGGGGTGTCGTCCTGACAGGCAAGGAGCCATGGCCTCGGACTGTCACAGCCTTGGTCATGAGCGGGAAGCGAGGGGCAGGGGGCGACCGGGAGGAGACTGTGATGTTGGGGCTTCCTGCAAAGATCACAGTCACCCTTGTTGTCTCCACGGCACCTGACACCGTGCCAGGTGTGGGTGTCTGCAGTGCAACAGGGAGGGATGAGGACTCTGGTGTGTGGGGGACGGCCAGGAGGCTGGCAGTCACTCCCTTGCTGGCTGGGGCCTCTGTGGGGCGGGCAGGGAGTTGAGAGGCAGTGAGCCCCAGTGGCTGCTGCAGGGTGGACTGGGTGGGGCCTGGAGACACCACTGGCTCTTCAGTGGCTGCCACTGGTGGGTTCAGGGCTGTGGGGAGTGGGGCAGCTGGGGCCAGGGCTGGCCTGTGGGTGGGGCTCCCGAGGCTTTCCTGTGACAGCTGTGGCTCCTCATCACTGGGGGTGGGCAGCCCTTGACTGGGAGGGAGGGTCTCATTGCCAAGGGCCTCTGTGGGAACCCAAACTGCTGGCTCCACACCTGCGGAGACAAGAGAAGAGGCTCAGAAGGCGGGGTGACTGCTGCCCCAGGGGGTCATCGCTGGGCAGGGCTGTGGTGTGGGGCTTGAGGACTGGCACCCTTGGTGATGGGGTGAGGGCAGCTTCTGATGGCCAGAAGAAGTCAGCAGGTCTGAACTCTGCCCGACCTCAGACCCTGACCCCAGAGCCAAGAGACCTCAGGTCTAAGTCTGGCTGCACCACCTTCTCACCACGTGACCCCACTCTGCGCCTCATTTCTCCTCTCTGTGAAGCGAGGCAAATAGACCGGATGAGGCCTGTGCCTCCCCTGTGCCTGTATCCCTTTCCAAAGGTCCCTGTGCTGATCTTGCTTCTCTGGGACCTGGGAGCTTTGAGGCATGACTGCTCAATGAGACCCTAGGGACTTAGAGGAAATCTGAGGGAAGGACGAGAAGTCCGGGCCACTTACAGTCCTCCAAGTAGACACATCTCTGTGTGACTTCATCCAGGACCTTGGGGGCAGGACACACAGGGACACAGCCTTCTACCCTGAGGACAGAGCAGGGAGCAGGTTAGTGGCCTGGAATACAGGGAGAGCCACCTCTTTTTCCCTCGACTGAGCACAGGCCTTATCCTTTCTTATGACACGTATGTGTGCACACATGTGCTTATTACATGTACACACACATGACCCTCCTTAGAGATGCTGTCACACATGTACAGGAGCACACACACCCAGTATGTATGCAGCACACTCCTGCACACTTCTACCCCTCAGACCGAGAGGGAAACACACACACAAGCAAGGTACACTTCTGCACACACTCATGTACATGTTCACATGTGTCTCGGCCTGGGCACATTCTCACGTGGTCTCATGTACCCCTCCATCCTTGCAGGACGCCTAAATTTTTACACATACATGCAAACACACCCACAGAGACTCCCACAAACATCAGTGAATACGCCCTCACACATGCACACAGCTGCACACAACACCTGCATACATGCAACTGTGTACAATGAATGCACAGTTGTAGTAGTACACACACAAACACACACAAGGCTCTGCTGCACGCACATCATGCACAAATAGATACTCACATATGCTCACATATGTGCATATATGGAAAGACACAGTCACCCTGGTACACACATCCCCATACACTCAACATGTGAAACACTCATACACAAGTGTATGTGAGTGCACACACACACTGGTGCACGCACCTTGACTCCATGCCCACGGCCCCTGACATCTCACCTGGGTACGTCCCGGCAGCTGGCTGCCCATGGGTCCCGGCAGGTTTGGAAGCAGGAGCTGGCACAGGCATCATAGTGCCACTCGCAGACGGGATAGGCAGGCCCCGAGGGCTTGGCATCTAGAAAGTGAGATGGGGCAGCAACTCTGGGTCAGGTGAAGACACAGAGGAAGTCCCAGAGCTTAGCCCTGTCCCCCCATTCTGTGGAGGGGATAAATGGACCCATGCAGGGAAAGTGAATGGGGAAAAAACCACGCTAAGGAGAAACTGTGTTCACCGTGGTTGGTGTGAGTGCCTGGGGTATCCTGGGGACGGGGCTCTGGGAACTGAATGCAGGACTGAGGACAGGGAAGGACTGAGGACAGGGAAGGACTGAGGACAGGGAAGGACTGAGGACAGGGAAGCTCTGGCCCTGGCAGTTGGAGTGAGGCTTCGAAAGGTGGCCAAAGAAGAGGTCTGGACCCCTGATCTCTCCCTTGGGATGCCCTGCCACCCACCCTGCCCCTCTGCGACCTTGGTGCCCAGGCTTTCCCCGCATCCCAGGACACAGTAACCTCCTCCTTGCCCTGCCTCTAGCAGGGCTATTGTAGACCTCCATGGAGGCAAGAGGCCCTCCTTTGCGGGGTGAGGGAAGGCACTGGGGGATCCCTTCCCCTCTAGCCCAAGGCCTTCCTCGGCACCTGGCCCCCGAGAGCTTGCAAGGGAGGTGCTTTTCCCCAGGCTCAGCCCTCTCTGTTCCCAGAGGACCCCCTGAAGAGCCTCTTAGGGTCTGAGGGTGCAGGTCATTAGAGCACCGCCCTCACTGCCCCTGCGGCTGGGCTAACTCTTAAACAGCACTGGGTGCTACCCGAAATATCTCACACGGATTTACTCATTCAACCTTACCATCGTCCTATGAGGTAGGTGCTATTATTACCCCCACTTTAGAGAAGAGGAAACCCAGGCACAGATGATGCTGGGAAAATGACAGGTTTTCAGAGGAGATGTTCTCAAAAGAGGCCCTGTGACTAGCACCTTGACAAATGAGGGAAAAGTCTGCAGCCTATGGGGGGCTTGGAGGCACACAAGTAGACCCCAGGCTACCTCGGCACAAGTGACCAGTTTCTGAACACACAGCCTGAGCAGGGAGGTGTGGGTAGGCTCCGAAGCAGGCTCCAGGGAGCAGCCCCCACCAGCAGCTCCTCCAGATGCCCTAACCTGAACACTGCTGCCAGCTGTGAAGAAACCTGCTTTTCCAAAAGCCTGGAGAGTGCTTTTCCAAAAGCCTGGGGAGCACCTACTATGTGCCAGGCCCTGGGCAAAGCCCACGAGACACAGCCAGTCCTCACAGCACACTTCTCAGACAAATATCCCCATTCCACAGGTGAAGAAACCAAGTCAAGGAGATAGGGGCTCTCCTCCAAGTGTCTAGGACCAGGGTCAGGATTTGAACCCAAGGCTGTCCAGCTTCAAAGTCTGGGCTCATGCCCCAGTGTCTTCCAGAAAGGGACACAAATATTCCCATCATGAGCAAGTCTTGTCATCATGGCCGGTGATAAACCTGTCCCACGTCAAGTTCAAGGGCGGACTCGCTAACCGCTGAAGGGAAGAATGAGCTCACCCAGCCCTGGCTTGGGTGGGGTGGGTGATGAAATGAGGAGGCTGGCTGAAAACACATTTCCATATGTGTACATGCAAATGGATCCATCCACAGACACAAGTACCCCCAAGCCCCATGCAAGACAGAGAAAACAGTAAAGAAACTCCAGGGTTTAGGCAGAGAACAATATTTTGGGGACAGACACAGCTGGCAGGGCAGGCCCTGGACCCCCTTGGCCTCGGTGGAAGTTCGGGGAGTCACCCCACCCCTGTCCAGGGGCTTGGGCCTTCCATTCAGAGATGAGGCTGCTGGTCCCCAGACCTATCCCCCTTGTGACAGTCCTTGAACTCATGGGGCAGGCATGTGACCCCAACAGCAAGAAAATTGAGCCAGCGGCTACGCGTGCTGCAGCCAGAATCACACCTCCCCTCACTTCCACAAAGGCTGCTATATTTTTAGACCGTGTAATTGGCCTGTGGCAGCAGGCAGGACCCAGGACATTGGCTGGACCCCAAGCACACTGTCTGTGGCTCCCTAGGCCGTTAACATGGAGGCCGGGCCACCTCTCGTCTCAGGGTGGCACCCATGTGGCCCCCTGTGCCAAGAGAAGGAGGATTCTGCCTCTTAGGGGCAATTGGAAGGGTGAGGTGGGGACAGGGTGGGAAGAGCAGTGGACTGAGAGGGCCAAGGGGCCGAGGGCAATGGCAGGGGGTCACCTACCCAGAAGGCGGAAGAGCGTGCCCCGGCGGAACACCTCTGTGTGTTCGTACAGCCGCAGGGCCAGCACCGGGCCCGATGCACAGAGGAAGGAGCTGGGCTTGGCCAGGGACTCCAGGGCCACCAGGCCTGCCTGCCATGTGCCCCGGTGCAGCAAGAAGGAGGCATGCTGTTGGAAGGCATCACGGCCCTGCCACTTAGCCAGCTCCAGAGACCCGTTGGCTGTGACGTGAAGGAAGAAGTTGGGTCTGTCTGCTGCCTCCAGGGACACTATGTCTGGGTCTGCAGAGAACCACACGGAGAGGGTCAGTGCAGGCAGAGGTCCAGACTGGTGGGCTGTGGGGACAGCATCCTGGCACACATCTGCTCTCTCAACAACTCTGGACCGCAGCACGCCTGAAGACCAGCGGGCCTTGCCCCCTACGCCGGCCCCCGGCTCACCTACTCTGCCTGCCAGCTGTCCCTCTGCTCACACCATCTCTGCCTGAGGGCGAATGGAGGCTTAGAGATCCCCCAACTGCTAAGCCTCGGGAAGGTAACTGAACTATCTCCTTCTGTCCCCCTTGCACCCCTCTTTCCATTCTTCCCTCCTTCTGCAAACATGTTTGAGTGCCCTCAATGTGCCAGGCACCATTCTAGATACCCAGGATCCAGCAGCGAATACAACAGAGGCAGCTGTCCTGATGGTTGCATTGCATTGGACATGTGGGGCAGGTTGGGGGTTGGTGATTTGTCAGGCTATAGGGTCCCCGGCTTGGTCTTGCTTCTCACAGGATCCCAGAGGGCCAGCATTGGCAGCCCTTCGTCCAACCCACAGATAGGGAGAGGGTCCCAGAGAGAGCTTGCCTAGAGACCCAAAGCTCGTCTCTGTCCTCCCTCTCCGGTCTCCATAACTGCCCAGTTCTAGGGCATGCGGCTTGATGCCCAGTGGGCAGTTTCCCCTGCACAGGGCCTTATGGGTCTCCTCAAGTCCCAAATCCACAAGCAGGCGCAGGGGGTGAGCACGGGGCCAGAATTCCAGCTTACCACCCTGGCTGTGATGTGGGCAAGCACATTCATGCCTGGGCTGTTGGAGGGATCATCAAAGAGGTGTGTGTGAAGCACCTGGCACAGCCTGGTGCTGGGCGGGTGCATCTTCAGCCCCTCCCATGTGTCCCCTGTGTCCCCAGGAGGGACGACAGTATCCCTGTTACACCTCCCTGGGCAGCTGTGAGAAGATGGCAGGTAACGGAGACAGGCTTCATTATTCATGTTAATAATCACAGCTGCTGTTTACACATGACTTACTACGTGCCAGGCACTGTGCTAAGCAAGCCATTTGCCTGCAAGTTATAAAATTCCTACGAGAACCCTGTGAAGTGAAAAATTCCCTCATTCAGCAGCAAATATTTACTGAGTACCTGCTGTGGGCCAGGCCATGTTCTAGGCACTGAGGCCACAACAGGGAGCAAAATGATGAAAATTCTTGCCCTCATGGAGCTTGCCATCCTGGCGGCTGTGGGGTGGGGAGAGAATACATTGCTGTGAGAGGTTAAAAGGTGGTGATATTACTATTCCCACTTTACAGAGGAGGGAAGAGAGGCCCAGAGTCACACTGACAGTGAATGAGGGAGGCAGGGCTGGATGCAGGCAGGTCGAGGCCAGAGCCCAGCATCTTCACCACCACAGGGCCAGCCCCACCCATGGGATGCAGGCGCCGGCATGGGCAGCCCAGCGTGGTAGGGCACGGAGTGCTAGCCCCAGCCTGCTCTACGGGATGCGTGACCTCAGGCAAGTCACTTCTCCTCCCTGGGCCTTGGCTTCCTCCTTCATGAAGACAGGGTTGACCTGGATCAAGGCTTCTCCACTGTTTTCCCTGCTGTCCTCCTAACAGGGCAGAGACCTTGAGGTGCAGAGTCCGGGGCTGTACTGTAAATATTCGATTGACTTCGCCTGCCATCCTCTGTATTTCTTCTTTAATGCCTCGGTTTGGAAGGCAGTATGGCAGAGGAGTTTGAATGAAAGACTCTGGAGCCAAACGGCTGGCACCTGTCACTAACAAGCACTGCGCCCTAGGTAAATCACCTAACCTCTCCGGGCCTCAGCTCCCTCATCTGTAGATTGGGAAAATAATAGTCCCTACCTCCTAAGATTGTCATGAGGATTAAATGAGTTGCTACACATGAAGCACTTAGAACAGTGCCGGTACATGAGAAGTCCTACAGAAGAGCAACATATGATTATTAATAAATAAGTAACCTCCCCCCCCAAAAAATCTTCAGGTAACACTAGCACCCCAGGGACCTCTGTCAGGCTGTGGTGGTGACTCCCCAGAGTGGGAAGCCTGGGCCTCGGTGACTGCTGAGTCCTCCCCTCCGTGACATTTCCTGCTCTCCACTTCTTCGCATAACCATCTTTCCATCCTTTAAGGGACACCTCCTCCATGCAGCCACCCTAGGTCCCACCTGGAAGGCACCTTTCCTTGGCTGCCCAGGACCCTGGGTACAGCCCAGGAGAAGCAGTATGGGATGGGAGAGGGAGGAGCTTGGGTCCCCACTGGGCCCATGAGACCCACGCCTGACTCTGAGATGGAGCCTGGACTGGAGTGCCTCTGGGATCCTGCCCCCAGTGACATCCTCTAAAGCCAGGTGACTCCAGGGACCTGCTTAGCATGCCCATAAACCTAGTGGAAAGGCAACACCCCCTCTGGACTACACATAACCTACTAGACTAACATACTGGATGGAGAACAGAAAAGCCTCACTAAGCAGATGGCCTGCCACATCTGGAAGGTGGTGACACCTTTGTCAGGCAGGAACGCACGGGTCTGGGGATCAGAAATGTGTAGGGAGGAAGTGCTGTCTTTGGGGGTGGTGCTTCTGGCTCTCCTGTGGCCCAGTCCCCGATTCCTCACTCCCAGGCTTTCTTACGCAGCTACATGATTCTGCCAGGTACCACCTACCTCCCCCAGGCTCACACCGCCATGAACATCACCTACAGCTAGGGATGTTGGCCATGCCTGGGGCTGGGCAGGAGCCAGGATGTCCCCTCCCCTCCTCAAAGCCCTTCCATGGCTCCCCATTGCCCTCAGGATAAAGTCCCAACTCCTGAGCTTGGCTTACTAAGTAAGTAAGAAGTTTCCCTTCTAGAATCCTTCTTGCTCTCAGGGGAACATCCTGTATTTTAAGAAGCATCTCCTGACTCTAAGACTGAGTTGGGGGCCCCTCCCCAGTGTTCTCACAGGTGCTGTGACTGCCTCTGGGCATGTCTGTCTCCCTGATGGGACTGTGGCCTTCTGATGCGCAGGGACTGTGTCTCTTGTATCCCTGATTTCCCAGTACCCGGCTCTGTGCTTGGCATGGGATTAGGGTTCAGTGAAAGGGAGGGAGGCAAGAAGAGACATTGAGAGAGAAAGGGAAGAGAGGAGGGAAGAAGGGAGAGATGGGGGGAGGGTGAGAGCGGAAGAGAGGAAGGAGGAGGAGGAGCATGAGGAGGGAGAGCTGCTGCTTGGCTTTTCTGGAACAGCTATTGCGTACAGCAAGGTATAGAGGCACACCTGGGCCTTGGCTGCCCTGGAGGTTAGGGGAGCAGATGGAGAGTGTCTGCAGAGAAGAAGCTGACCTAGAAGCACCATCTCAACTGGGAGAGGGGCACTTGTCAGAGCCCCCATTTCCCCCGCCACTACAGATATTTAGGGCCTCAGCACTCACCCCTCCTCCAGCACCCTCCTCCCTCCCAGAAGAGCTGGAGCGGGACTGAGGTGGGCCTTACCGTGGGCCTTGGCCTTGTACAGAGCAGCTGTCAGCAGGAAGCTCACAATGTCCCCTGGCGCCACATCCTTTGTCCTCACTAGAACTATGTCTTCGCCCACCGCCTTCATGGCCACCAGGGCACCACCGGCTGCCAAGCTGGACAGCTGATAGGGGCCCTTACCTAGCACTGGAGAGAAGAGGCCCCGTGAGCAGCCTGGCCCCCCTGCCTGCCCACCTCCCATACCTCCTGCCCCACCCCTTGGCAGCAGTGGGGTGGGAGAGCAAGCTACCAAGGAGGAACTCTTGATGGCGTCCTTCATCCCAGAGCTCAGGGACCTTGATGACCCTGAGAAGGAAGGGACAGGATTCCCAGGCTGCCAGCCCCCGAAAGGAACAGACCCACTGCACAGTGCCTGAATCACTTCACAGAGAGCCAAGGAAGAAGGCCACCCACAGGGAGCACCTGGGCCCCCCAGTGTCTCCCCACAGCCTTCCCACTGCCTGAAACTTCACCATTACAGCCACTGCTCTATTCAAGGTGCCCTCGGGAAGAAGACAGCAGACCAGGTTTCTGCCCACCCCAGGCCTGAGGGACGATAAACATGTTAGTGTTTATCTAATTATTTCAAACACGTATCACTTTTGAGTCTTTATAATTCCTGTGGTTGTCAGTATAGGTTGGCACAGAACATGGGCTTCCTGGACAATCACCTTGTAGGGATCTTCCTGCGTCTGCTGTGTCCCCGCTCTCCAATGCCGCCTCCCTACGGCTGCTGAGCTGCCCTCCCAGCCACGCCCCCTGCTGGGGTGCACCAGTGACTCTCCATGGCCCTCAGGACACAATCTAAAGAGCCCAGCTTGAATTCAGAAGCCCTTCAGCTCTCAGCCCCTGCCCACCTCCCCACTCCCCCCACGCCCTGGCTCCTGCCATGCTGAACTTCTCTTGCTCTTTCTGGAAGGAGCAGTGGTGTTATTTCCCAGCTCACATCTCATCACACCGTTCCACCCACTCAGAGTAGTCCTCCCCGTTTTGTGCCTGGCAAACGCCTACTCAACCTCTGGGGCCCAGCTCAAATGTCACCTCCTTGTGACGCTCTCCCTGCACCCTCTCCTGCCACATGGCAAATGTTGTCCCTCCTCCTCTGTGTCCCACCAGCTCTTGGAGCATGGCACATACTAGTTACAGCTCTTCGGATGAGGATCAGGATGAGAGGTCCACATCTGTCACCCCCACTAGATGGGAGACAAGCAGTGCTGTGCTGGCAAATGGCTAACAACGAGCTCTCAAACAAACAAACAAAAAAAAGTGGTTTGTAGGTTTTCGGATTTCCACGGCGTAAACACTCCCACGAGGGGTCAACTGGAAACTACCAACTGAATGAGGAGTTAGGAACACAATGGGTGCTAGAGAGGCGGCGTGAGCCCGCTCCGCACACCGCTGTGGCAGGACTCAGGGACCGCTGACTTCCCAGCACCCAGCGGGCCAGGACCAGACCAAATGCTAGTAGAAGAACGGAGCAAGGATGGGTGAGTGGGTGGGTGGGTAGGTGGAAGATGCTAGAAACAGCTTGTCCTTTGCCAGTTACTGCCACCCAAAATGCCACGGAAGAGAGAAAACGGAGCAGCTTCATCTTGCTGAAATGTCTTGCCTGATGTCAGACAGATCCTGTCTGTCCCAGGGACCACAGATCCCCCATTGCAGGCTCATCCCTTTACCAGTTGAAGTTCTGGGGCCATCAAGAGCCCCTGGGCACTAGTATTTTGGCAGAACTGCAGTCCTGTGGATGCTCATGCTACACCCTGGTCTGGCCCTCATCTCACAGGCCCCCAGATGGTATCCTGTCTCCAGTCTCTCTCTTCCACTTCACCCACCACGCTCAAGCCAAAATCTCATCATGCAGGCAACTGAGGACAAAGCCCTGGGCCTCTGCCCACATAGGCCTGCTCCTGGCAGCACAGTCCCTGGAGGAGGGTCGGGGAGCGGAAGTCAAAGGCGAACAGCACGGAGGACCAGATGAGCATTTCACTCTGCCAAGGTCTGACCCTGGCCCAACTGGATGAAGTTCAGTGCTAAAAACTACTCCTGGGCAGCCCTTCTCTATCCCACCTACCCAATCCTAGTGATTAAATTGATGAATTGGCTCTAAACTGGACATTAACCTCCCCTGGGTCTTTGGTTATGACCTGTGTTTGCACCCTCGTTAATCTAAATGTCAGAGCGTCTGCCGGAATCCTGCGACCTTGGTTGAGTTTGAAGATGAATGTGTCGGGCCACATGTTTTGTTCCACTCATACTCAGAAAGGGCAGTTTGTGTCTGCTTTTGCCAAAAGCAAATCTTCGGGGAACCCAAGGTGATGTTCTGTGGCTCTGATGAGCTAGATTATGAAGGTGGAGGAGCTGGCGAGTTGGTGGGAATGGGGTTTTTCCTTCCTGGTGGGGCTGCCCTGCCGAGCACAGTCCCTGGGAGCCGGCCTGCCTGGGCCCGGGACAGGGGCTGCAGGAACTGCTGAGGACAGAGGTGCAGGATACCCCTGGGCCCTGCACTGTCAGGGCTCTCTCTGCATGATGGGGGCCCTCCCAGCCCGGGTCAGGGCTCTTCCAGGGCCAGCAGCGCCTTGGGATGGCTGATGCTGTGTGGCATCAGGACAGGGCTGGCAGTGCCTGGGCCCCTTAGACTCTGCGTGGGGAGGATGGTCTTACCTTTGTTAAAGAAGTCACAGTCATACGCTGAAAGAGAGAGAACAGGGACTTCCTGAGAGCCAGCCCAGAGCCTGGAACAGACAGACAGAGCCAAGGCCCCCAGCATCCCAGCCTCCCTTCTTCCCCAAGTGCTGGGCTTGGCCTGCCTCCCACATGTCAAGATTTGGGGATGGTCATGGATGCAGATGTCTTAAGTGAAGTAAATAGAATGGCTCCTCTCTGGGCCGACAGCATAAGGCTCAAAGACTGGCCCACAGTAGGCACCTCAGCGATGTGTCAAGTAAATGAACAAATGAATGAATGTTGGAAAGAAGCGGGTGTATTTTGTGTGGTGCCAAAGAGCAGGATTAGAACCAAGGGGTGGGAGTTTTAATCAGAAATGTTGCAGAAGGCCCCCAGAGGGATGCAAGCACAAGACGGAGGTTGATCTTCCAAGAGCCTTGGGTGGGAAGGGGACCAGGAGCCCCCAGCATCACCGGCTTCTTCAAGCCGCTTGCACTGCAGAGGCGCTTCCACCAGCCAAGCTGTAAGAAGCTCCTGCAAGCGTGGGCTCAGCGCGCCCTCTAGTGGTCATCTCCAGCACCACACCCTGTTCCCCCTGCCCCTCAGCTGCAGATGTTCAGTCCACTGGGGAGTGCCCGGGACCTTGCGGGAGACCCCTAAAGCCAGCAGTAAAGCCATGAAGAGCTAGGCAGATAGACCTGGGATAAAGCTTAGGAGCAGCATGCTTCACACGTAGGCATGGTCTGAAGAGAGCCATCGACTCACTCCACACCCCAGACCACAAGGTCAATGCATCTGGGGTCACCCTCCAGAAAGAGCACGTAGAGTCAGGAGACAGGCCTGCCGTGCGGCTGCGGGCACGTGCCTGCCTCTCCCTCCATCTGCAGACTCAGAAGGCTGAACCAGAAAATTAGAAAATTGCCAAGTTTCTGGTTTCCAGGGTGTACCCAGTCAAGGAGTGGTAGCCAACAAGAGTCATTAAAAAGCCAGCTCTCTAGAGTTAGACCTGAGTTCAAATCCCACGTCTCTCACTCATCAACTGTGCATACTGAACCAAGTCACTTAACGTCAGTGAAATTTAGTGCCCTCCTCTAAGGTGGGACGGCTACTGGCATCTGCCCCATAGATCTGCCAGGGCCTGGACCACAGTAAGGCAAAGTGCTCATCTTGGATGTGAAATTTAAGGGGCTACCAAAAATCTCAGTAATCAAGATAAATACTATTTTAATGCAATATTTTAAGACATCAAAATTAATGCAAGAAAAACCATGACAAATAAAATATCAAAATTTAAAAATAAAGACAAGATCATTAACAGTCTCCCACTGAGTTTCCCACTGAGCCAGAGTAGAGACTGAGACCAAAGGAAACATTAATACTATTGAGCCTTTGAAAGTTTGTTCACCACAGTATTTTTGCAGCAATTTTTATTTTACAGAAATATTACATCAAAATATTATTTCTCTTGATTACTGCATTTTTGGTGCCCCCTCAAACCTTGTACCCCAGGTAAGCACCTCAATCACCTCCCCCTAGTCTTGAATATTAAATGAAGTAATGCACATAGGCACAAGGCCTGGCACGCAGTGGACCCTCAGCAAGTGTGCTTCTGCTCCACCTTCTTCCTTTGGCATCTTGCCTGCAGGGGTCAGGGCTCAGGACATGTCAGTACCCAGGTGTCCATGAAAAAATGACAACCTCCGCATTAGCATAGGTCACTGTGCCAAGTGCTGTACACACAATGCCTTGTTTAAACCTCACAGCACCCTACAAGGTAGATGCAGCTATCTTCACCCCTCTATTACAGGTGAAGAGACTCCCAGGCCAACTCGGTGGAGCTGGGTCTGAACTCAATCAGTCTGACCCCAGAGAGCAAGGCTGTGTAATGGCCATCACACCCCAAGGCGAGGTGCTTGCACCAGGAAAATCCTTTGATGTGCACGAATAAATAAAAAATAAGAAATGAAGAATTTAGCCTTCTTTATGTATTCTTTCACCTTTTAAATATTAATTTTTAAATATGTCTACGTATTTTACATGAAGAGTATATCTATGGATGCATATCTATGTATGCATATGTATGTGCACAAAATGATTTTACTTGATAGGGGTATGCAATGAAAAGCATTTGCAGACCACCATTGCTCTGAATAAACTGATCATCTCTGCTGCCTCTGATGGGACCTGCGAATCTCAGCTGACAAAGGACTTCTATATTCATCACCCCATTTGGTCCTCAGAGTCAACCTGGGGGCAGGCCTATTCCTGTTTCTCAGACGAGAAAATTGAGCCCCAGAGAGGTTGGGTGACTTGTTTGAAGTCACACAGCTTACAAGTGGTAGCTCTGGGTCTAGGCTCCTGACTCTTCTAACAAAGTGGCTATGAGCACGGGTTCGCATTGGACTCTCTAGGGATGAACCTTGGCTCCACCACTAACCTTGAGCAGGTTACTTGATCTCTGTCTCTCTAAGCTGTTTCTTCAACTAAAATAGGAAATACATAGCCCTGTTTCAAAGGGTAGTTGTAAGAATTCAATGAATAACACGCCCAAAGCAGTTGGTGCTTGGTACATTCTAAGTACTCAGTAAATGCTAGACAGACTGCCAGTACCCCTAGGGTATGCCCACAGGGGACACTCTGTCCCTCGGGTGATTGTCTGGGACACTCACGGCAGAGGCGGGGGGTTCGCCAGTCAACAGCCACCCCGTGCTGGCAACACTGGTGGGCATAAGCAGAGACACTGGCACAGAAGCACTCACAGTCACCACCCTGGCTGCAGCCACATGTGTCCGTCAGGCAGTTTGAGTAAAACCAAGTGACATCAACCTGGAGAAGGTCAGAAGTCAGAGGTCAAAGGACAGATCCCAAATGTCAGATCCGCAGCTTGTCAGCTGATGGCTACCAGCACCAACATGAAGGGACCACAGGACAGGGTGAGTTGTCCTGTCTCATGAGATGTGAAGGGAGAAGTACAAGGAAACGAGAACTCCATGGTCCAGGCAGATGCCCCCTTTTGAGAACTAAGCTCTCTTCTCTCCTGAGTCTGGCCTGTTTGATCCAGGAGCCGAGAGTGGCTGAACAGGGGTAGAGCCTGAACTGCCTAGCCAGGGCCAGAGACAGCCAAGGCCAATCTGACAGCAGCCTTCAAGGCTTGCAGGGTGCCATGCAATGCTGAGCCCCAGCCTCCTCTGCATGCACCGAAGCAGAACAGGCAATAGGTGGTGCCTCAGCATGAGGGCTTTGGGTCCACCATTTAGAAGAACTTCGTGATAAGGAGGAAGGGCCAGATCAAGATGAGCTTGAAAAGGGCACAAGCTCTGTTTGCCTGGTTGTCTGTGCCTGGTCATCTGGGGAAATATGACCGACTCATCTGAGCCGACTGGAGGCAGGGGAACGGCAGAGGCAGATCTTCTCTGGAGATTTGAGCTGTCTCCTCTGAGACATGGGGGAGTCTGAGAGCTGAAGGGATCCCAGGAAAGTGGAGGGGGTGCTCGGGAGGGGCCGAGGCTGGGGTCCACTCACCACAGGGTGGCAGATCTCAAACACCTCACTGAGCAGGATGCTGCACTCCTTCTTGGCAAATGGTTCTCGGAGAGGATTCAGGACACATGTATCCCGAGGATCGAGGGTGTCTGGGCACTGAGGGGCAAAGGCAGGGCTGTTGACCTCCCTATTTGCCAAATGCCTGTTGCCTGACATGACAGATAGATTTTAGGGTGGCCGCCATGATCCTTGCCTCCTGATATTCATGTTCTTGTAAAATCCCCTTCCCTTGAGTGTAGAAGGGACCTATACCTTGCCTCAAACCAACAGAATATGGCTCAGGTGATGGGATGGACATGGCCATGTGTATGTGATCACACAATTCCCAACATGAGATCCCAGAGCCCATCTTGCTGGAGTCTCTCCCTTGCTGGCTGTGAGGAAGCAAGCAGCCATGCTGGGGTACCCCACATGGATGGAAGTGTCAGTGGTTTCTTGTTGCTGAGGGTGGTCTCTGGCCAAAAGCTGGCCCCAAAATAATGGAACCTTTAGTCCTACAGTTTCAAGGAGCTGAATGTAATCAACAACCATGTGAGCAGGTGAGGATGCAGTTCCTTCCCCAGTGGAGCCTCCAGATGAGAGCCCAGCCCTGACTGACACCTTGATTGCAGCCTTGTGAGACACTAAGCAGGGAACCAAGTCAGGCCGTGTCCTGACTTCCTGGCCCACAGAAACTGAAATAATACATGAGTGTTGTTTAATGCCACTAGGTCTCATAAAATTGTTACATAGCAGTAGATAACTAATACAGATGTTTCCGATGTCTGCTGAATCTCTTTCCTTAGACTACATTTTCACTAGAGAACCCCATGGTATGCCGAATAGGATTAGCAAGAGAGAAATATGATGTGTATGGGGGTATGGGGACAACAAGGGTTAGTCACCCACTGAGCTTCTCTAAAATGGGGGTGTGTTAGGGTGCACTTTTCAGAGGCTGTGGGAACAGCCTTGTCCCACCTCAGGATTTCAGAGTCTGTGAGAACAGCCCTGTCCCACCTGGAACAGTTGAGCTCCAGGACATGCCCAACTGCTCCCCTTACCCCAGTCTACACAAGCTCATCTCCGTGTACTTCCCAGCAGGGCATTAAGATCACTAAGTCTAGGAAAGGCAAATATATAACACTCACATCACCACTCTCCCCTGCTGCTCTCATGGCAGACATAAATAATCGATCACAGTCCTCCTTCCAGCTGAGCTTGACACAGATCTTGGATGTTTCTCAATATAGCTCCCAAGCAGCCTCTTTTGACCAATCAGAGTTGTCACATGAAGTGAAATCTATTCATCAGCTCTCTCTTGGCCCAGTCCCCTCTCTTTGCAGAGGATTGCAGAGATGGGATGTACTCAAGGTCACCCAGAAAGTCAATAGATGACCCAACAAGAACCCAGGTCTCCTGCTCTCAACTCAGAGCTGTTTCCCCCACAGCTCACAGATTGACAGCCTCAGTTGGACATCTCTCAGATTGTCCCTTGGGGCAGACCCCCTCATTTCTATCTATGCTAGTGTTGCCCTTCCTCTCAGAGATCTTATCTCTGATATATTCATCTATTTAAGCATGGCCCAAACTTTAAGTGCCAGCACCAGTCTCATCTCCTTCAGGAAGACTTCCCTGATTGCCTCAACCCTCCTCGGTCTCTCTTGGTCTCTTCTCTGTGTCAGACCTAGTTCCAGGCACCGGGGTGCATCATGATGAGTGACCATCTCTCCTGGGACAGACTTTATCACCTGCTCAACCTTCCACCACCCTGCCAGGGCTTGGTCCAGGGTAGGGTGGGCAGCTGGATTTGTGAGACAAGATGATGCAAGATCTTTGGGCCATAGGACAGAGTCTAGGGCTAGGGATGCAGTCAGAGGCTGAGAGAATATTGCAGGAGAAACCTCACACCAGCATCCCTCTTCCCTGACCTGGGGCCAGGTTCAGTGCTGGCAGTGCCCATCTGAGTGAGGGGCATAAGCCAGCCTGGAGGAGAGGCTTTACCTCAACTGCAACCCAACTGCTGCCAAACTCCTGGGGGTTAGTTAGCTCTAGGTTCTCCGGGGTCCTCATCTCATTGATGGTTTTTAAGTCAAAGTTCCCACAGAGGCCTGCCAGCTGGCCCTGAAAAGAGAGAGGACACCATGGTCAGTTGCAGGCATGCCAGGGGTGAGCCACAGGCAGAGGGATCCCCATGAGCCCAGGAGTCTATCATGGACCTAGAAGTCACTGCTGAGGTCACAGTTTGAAGAGGGATGGAGCAATGTCAGAGGAGAAGGGGCCCAGAGCAGGGTGGAGGAGAGAACAGAGGCATGCTCTTCTTGGCTCCTCAGAGAGGGTACAGCTCACCCAAGGGCACCCAGGGCTTGGCTCAGCCCCAAGCAGGAGCAGAGGGTCACTGTTCATGTAAGTACCTGCCACTGAGGCCCAGCCTGGATGTGCACTGTGGTTCTCTGGTCCCACAAGAGGGTGATGTGTTCCCGTGGGAAATGCACCAGTGTGAAAAATCCCACTCGCCATGTGTGGACCTCCTGCTTGTCATCCAGGAAGCTCTCTGGACTCTAGAGGGACAGAGATGGTCACTCCTGAGCCCAAGTGCCTCCCAGTGCCCAGGTCGGCTATGCCTGCAGCCAGGACCTCACCAATGCCTCTGCCTCCCTCATACCCTGCCATTGGCCTCTGTGTTCCCGACCCTGGCCAAGAGGAATTCAGTCTGGGCTCCTAACTCAGTGGCTCTCCAAGAGAAACTGCTGTGGTAAGGAAGCCAGTCCTCAGCCCTCTTCTGCCCCAACCCCTGGTAACCTGTAAATTGTCTACACAACCTTCACAGGCACTGGGCCTTACAGGATTTCCGGAGTCATCATCAAAGACAATGAGTGAGCTCCCAACGTTGATGGAAATAAATTTCCTGCAGATCATGCCGGAGCTGTAGCAGTTCACATTCTCTACAATCACAGAGAAGCTGACATCTGACATGCTCTGAGGAGAGAATAAGCGGGTCCAATAAAACAAGGGAGAAAAGAGATCCTGCCGAGAGGTATAGAGGTGGAGGAACACGCACTCCGGAGCAGCTTTCAATCTACTTCTACTATGTGTTTGCTGAGCTGTGTGACTTTGGGCAACTTCTGTTCTCTGAAGCTGTTCTGGTTTTGGATGCCTAGTGTAGTGCTTAACATGTAGTGACTCCCCAAAATATCTGACGAATTAATGTATTAACAAATATACAATAGGGATGATTGTGTTGATAGGGTACGGGGAAGAGGCACTGTCTCACATACATCCTTGATGCTAGTGTAAGCTTTTTGAAGGGGAATTTGCTGGCATCGAATATTTTAAATGTACATAGCTTTTTATATAGCAATTCCACTGCCAAGAACCTGGGGATACATCCACACAGGTATTCACTGCAGCATTTAAATATTGGAGACAACCTAAATGTCCATCGATGGGGAAAAAATAAAACAAACTAGAGGGCGGTGTTCTGTAGAATTCTACACAGCTGTTTAAAAGAAAAAAGTGTGTACAAACTATATGAAATCAAGTCCAAGGTATCCTATTAAGTGAAAAAAGCACATTGTAGAATCCTATTCACATAAACTAAACAAACTGTGTGTGTGTGTGCGTGTGTGTGTGCGTGTGTCCATGTCTCACAGAAAAATGGTCTTGCAGGATTCATCCCCGACTGGAGTGGTTATTCAACAGGAGACAGGAACAGAAGAGATGGGAAGAGGATTTGATTTTTTTGATTTTATATTAAAAACAAAAAAGATTTGTTTTTAATATACACTGCAGTAACCTTTAGAACTTTTTAAATAAAATGAGGTCAATAATCTTTATCTCGTGGGGATTTACTGCAGTTATGTGAAAGACCCCAGTACAGTGCCTGCCCTGTAGATAGGATTCCTTCCATAAAAGGTTTTGGCATTGTTATTATTATATGTTATTTTTATTATTGATGTCACTCTTATAAGATGAGATAGGCTATTAGCAAAACCAACGTCCCCTGGGTGTGTCTGTGACACTCCTCCACAATGGCAGTGCCCCTTCCTCCTGGGGTAGGGATCCTGCCTTCACTGTGCCCCCAACATCACCAGTTTTCTTCCTCCAGGTGAGCTGAAAATTATAACCTGTGACTCCTTTAAGCACACCAACTCTCCAGTCAGATTTCTTGGTCAGACTTGACCCCAGCTCTACCACTGACTGATGGGGGACCTTGGGCAAGTTACCTGACTTCCCTTAGTCTGAATTGTTACATCTATACCATGGGATCCATAAACTTTACCTTGCAGAGCTACTGTGATATTTAAGTGAAATAATCCACAAAATATGGCCCAATAGACCCCTAGGTATATAATAAAAGCTCAAAAAGCATTGGCTCTTGCTATTATAGACAGAAAAAAGCACTGGGACTCAATACAGCAAGATTATAATGGTGAGCAGACAGGCAGTGTGGTACCTCGGGACTGGTGAACTCCATCCAGCTCTGAGCTTGCATCTCAGCACTTCTTCTAGTCTCTAGACAGCCCCAACTCAGGGCTTAGATTCCCGACCACCTAATTCTGCATCGGACTGGAGTCCAGAGCACCACGGTGCCCTGACAGGTCTGCATGGAGCCAGCTGGGCAGAAACATCTGGGAACTCACCTTGACCAGGTGCACTTTGCATGCCCCCACGAAGTCAAACGGGAGCCCATCAAATGTGCGGTAATGCCGGTCGCCATAGGCAGTGCAGGTGGAGGCGCAAGGGTGGAGGGTGCACTGGAATGAGCCCCGCTGGCACACACTGAAACACACAGGCCCAGACCAGCTCGTAGAGCACACCCATCCCATACCTGAATACTCATGACAGAGCCATGGCCTATCGAATGCACGCGCACTGTCTCCCTTGGCAAAGGGGTCAACAAACACCAACCTATAACAGGAGTCTCAAGGGCAAGATTGTGATTTCATGCAGGAGACACCAGGGCTCAGAGCGGTTACAAGACACAGCCAATAAGTAATGGACTTGATATTTAACCCAGATCTATTTAACTCCAAAGTCCATACTCCCTTTACCACTCCGTTCATTCACTTACCAATTCATTCAACAAATATTAGGTGCCTACCATATCCCAGGCATTATTCCAAAATTTTGTGATACATCAGTGAATAAAGCAGCAAAAAAAGAAAACCGTCTGCCTCTGGGAATGTTTATTCTAGAGGAAGAAGAGATACACTAAATAAAAAGTAATAAGGCAGTGCGCATATGTACTATAGTGCATTAGAAGGCAATGAGTGTTATGCGAGAGCAGGATACAGGTCACTGGGAATGTGGGTGGAGTGGGTTACAATTTTAAATAGGGTGGTTGGGGCACATGTGAGTAGAGATGTAAAGGAGGTGACAGAGTTAGTTTCATGGGCATCTGGAAGAAGGTTGTTCCAAACAAAGGATACAGTCTCTCCAAAGGCTCTGGGGAACACTTGGGAGACAACATGGCTAAAATGGAGAGTGTACGGGCAAGAGAGTAGAAGAGGAATTCAGAGGGGCAATGGAGGGTCAGGTGACATGAGTCCAATAGGGCCACTATAGGAAGGTTAGCTCCTGCTAGGAATGGGAGCAGGGGGTGGGCACTGGAAGACTTGATCATGGGAATGACACTATGTGATTTATGTTCCACTCTGGCCTAAGCTCAAGGGGGTCAAGGGGAAGCAGAAAGACCAGTTGAGTGGCTACTGCAGCACATCAGGGAAGAGACGATGGCAGCCTGGAGTAGGGTAACAGCAGTGGAGAGACTGAGAAGTTGTCAGATTCTGGGTGTATTATGAAGGTAAAACCAAAGGGATTTGTGGACAGGTTGGATATAGGTAGTGAGAGACAAGACACGAGGTTGACTCCAGCTTTTTTTGGCCTGAGCAACTGGAAGAACGAAGTCTTCATCAACTCAGATAGGGGAGGCTGAGGGAGAAGCAGGTTTGAAGGGGAAGATCAGATGTGCTGTTCTGGATATATTAAGTTGAGACCTCCATTAGACATACATATGGTGATGTCAAGTAGGCAGTTGGATGTGTGAGCCTAGAGTTGAGAAGCACGGATTGGACTACAGGTAGAAATCTGGTAGTCCTCTGCCTATGTATGGGCCTTGTAGCCATGAGATTGGGTGAGTTCACTAAGAGAGTGAGTATAAATACAGAGGAGGAGAGTTCCCTTGGGTTGCTCCAATATCAAGAGGTTGGAGAAGAGGAAGAACCAATGAAGGAAGCCGAGAAGGAACAGGAAGAGAGGTCAGAGAGAAAGCAAGAGGAGGTAGTGTCCCAAAAGCCACACGAATGAAAGTATCAACAAGGAGGGAATAATGGACAAGTGATCAACTGTGTCAAATGTTGCCCACGGGTCTAGGAAGGTGAGGACTGAGAAAGGAAAACTGGACATGGCAATATGGAAGTTACTGGTGACCTTAGTAGGAATAGTTTCGATGGAATGATGGAGAAAATGCCTGACCGAAAGGGCTTAAAGGGGAATGGGAGAACAGGAAGTTGAAACAGCAAGTATAGAAAAAGTGTTCAGGGAGTTTTGCAATAAAAGGCGAGCAGAGAAATGGAGCAGTTTCTAGGAGGTTGGAATTTTTTCAAACAATATATTTTTATGCAATAGGGATGAGCCAGTAGAGAATGTAAATTGCTTCTATGGGAGAAAAGAGGGAGAGATGCTGCAGTGATGCCCTTGGGTGGGCAAGTGAGGAACTAGGACCCAGAGGACAAGTGAAGAAATTGGCTTTAGATAGGAACACGGACACTTAGTTCATCTGTTGTACAGGCAAAATACTTGGGTATAGAGCCTGGAAAGTTGTCTTCTCATGGCTTTAATTTTCTCAGGGAAATAGGAAGCAGGATCATCAGCTGAGAATGAGAGGGAAGGAGGTGTCAGGGCTTTAAGGAGAGAAGAGAAAGAGTGGAATAGTTATCTAGCGGGATGAAAGAGCAAAGAAGACCCAGGAAATACAGTCCAAGAGCCCATCAGCTTTAAGGGCCTTTTCCACCCTTCTGAGCCCAAGAATTTAAAATGAGAGCTGGCAGTGGGGTTTTGCGCATCCCTCCAGTCACATTCAGCTGCATGGATACAGGTACAAAGGAAGTAAAGGTGTGGATGTCACCAGGGTTGTGGTTTTGCCAAACAAGTAGGGCAAAGCAGGAGGAGGAAGAGAAGTGGGGCTGCATTCAAGGAAGTAATATGGTTCCGGACCACAGGTTGATGTAAAAGGGAAGGGGAGACATTGAGGGGGTGAGAGGCAGCAGAGAGGTGGTAGGGACCATGGATGAGAAATCCCTGTGGGGTTGCAGAATTGAGGGAGTCAGAGAGGGAGTGGAGTAGAAAGACAGAAGGTGAGGTGAGACTCACTGGGATATGGGCTGGGTGAGTTGTTGGGAATGGCAACATCTACAAGATGACCCCTCACTCCACTAGGATGGAGAAAGATCTTTGCAAGAGAGGATGAAGAATCTGAGATGTCGGGAGATACTAGAAACACCTCTAAATGGATACCAAAATCTCCAAGAATTAAGGAAGGAGTAGAGTTGGCAAGAGTCACAGAGCTCAGTGCCAAAATATTTGGAAGTAAAGGGGCATGACCCTGGGCTCCGTGTCTGACAGCAACAATGAGGGGTAGGTGTTCTCCAATCACGTGCCATAGACACACTCAGTCATGCACTGAGTCCATGCGGCTTCCTAAGTATGTGTATCCATCCTGTCATTCACCCACCTACATGACCTACGACTCAGCCATAAATGCATAAACGCTGGAAATACTCCCACTGTGGCTGACCATGCTGCAGACCATGGCGACATGGAACGCAGAGCTGGGAAGAGATGGGCAGCCGGGCTCCCTCCTGGTAAAGTGATCACAGCAAATGCTCAAGTCACATCAGCGCAACACATCTCCAGCACCCACCTCCCCATGGGAGAGCAGCTGGAATCTGGGCCACAGTGGCAGGTCCTTCGAGAGCAAATGTCGAGGTTTGTCCGTGTATTAGGAGGTAGAACTTTTACAACTGAGTTAAAAAGTAAAAACTTGCCCGTCTATCTCCTAGTTTTCCATGGAAGAGAGGACACCCATCCTATGGCCAGTCAGCCTCTCCTATGAAGGCAGATGCCTCTTCGAGTCAGGGTTCCAAATTCTAAATAATCCCAGCTCTTCGGCCTTGGCTCCAGACTCCTCACCACCTCTGCCTTGGATCTGATTTATGAGCACAATGCACTCACAGGAGAGGATTCAATGTAACTCAGCTATCCCCTGCCTGAGGGTGAGGGTGCTGCTACAGTGTCTGGAGTCTAGTGAAGGGATGGAAGCGAATCCATCTCAGGGCCTGAGCACCCCTGGGCAAATCCAGGCCAGCCATCCCCAGTCTCTCACCTGATGTGCCTGGCATACCTGGTCTACTCTGGCTCACCACAGTCACAAAATCCCAAGAAAAAAAAAATGAGCACACAGCCTGCGCAGAGGTCTGTGTCCTAACATTATACCCAGGGACTTCTAGGGTCAGACAGCCAGGGCTCTGGTTTCTGAGGAAACCAGTCTTGGAGCAGATGGGCTTGACCGTGACCCTGCTTCTAACACAGAAAGAAACACTATGGCCTTCCTCTAGGCCAGAAGAACAGGGTGGTTTCAATCCCAGCATGGGACAGGGACTGGGGGCCATGCTCCAGCTACCCAGATGGGTCTCTGAGATAGAACCTCTCTGAGCTTCTCTGCTGGGCCCTGGAGTTCCAGGGCCAGGGGCTTCCTGCTCACCTCAGGCCACCCCTAGCGGGTTCTCGAAATTGGAACAGTGACTGGTTTTACTCTCCAGCATCAGGGCACATTTATAATTTCTCACCCCCTCCCCCAGCATTCTCTCTATCAGAAAGCTGAGTCTACCTACTGCCTACCCACCGCTGTGTGTCCCAGAACAGGCCCTGCAGAACCAGCCCCGAGTCTGTTTCCATAGAATCCAATCCAGGTGCACACACTCCCACATACACATACTTACATTACTAAACAAATACCCTCACACATACTGTCATACACAAGAATGTATCTATTCACAAGCAAACACAATGCACACTTACATAGATATTTACACTTACATGTGAATACAAATACGTATAGCCATTTTACACATATAGCCACACTTTTCACATACATGTGCACACATTTTTAAATGCCTCCATATGCAAAAAGTATATATAAACACACCTGTCTACATATACAAATTTCTAATCGTATATATTCACTGACATATTGAGTTTGTGAATGCCTGTCTTTTTATATACATCCATGCACATGCATGTTCACATATGCACATATGCATTTTGGATTTGCACTCACACTCATATGTTCATATAAATATGCGAACAAATTGTCATGGTTACAAATATGCATGTATACACATTCACATACATGACTGAGCAAACATATTCATGTAAAAACAAAAATATTCCTTTGTATGCATATACTCCTATGTGTACACAAACCCCTATGCCACACATAACACACAAACACACAACATGAATACAAACATAATGAAAGGGGAATGCTAGACTATACTCTTGATCATGCACCCATATCCATGCCCCCTCCCAGCAAAAAAGCAAAGCCTGCTTGGGACCCTCACTTACCAGGTATGGCAAGGAGACATCACCTGGTCCCCAGGGAAATACTCCTTCCCCTTCCAAGTGCAGGGGCACTCCTCTGGCAGGAAACATGCATCCCCGTGTCTGAGCAGACTGTAGGGACACAGTAAGCAGGCGGTCAGGAGAGCTCCCTTCCCATAGCTGCCATCTGTGGAGGACCCTGCCTCAACCTGGATGCTCGGAGGTGGCTTCCAGCATTTACCCTAGAAGAGACTGACTGTGTATTCACTGCCCATCCTGCTGCTGCCCAGTGAGGTTCAGAGGGACCTCAGTAATTGGAAAAACCAGTAACGGACTAGGTCCAGCCTGAAAGCCTCTGTCGTCCATCAAGAAGTGAGGTTTATCTCTACCAGCCATAGCCCTAGTGGCCAAGTGGATGCCAGCTGATCCTTAGGCACTAGTTGTATACTAACGAACAGGCCATGGATATGGGTGCTGACCCTCCTACCCAGGTTGTTTATGGAGCTCTCAGACCACAGGCCCCAAAGCTGCAGCACTGCCATCTTCTAGTCTGGTTTCCATGAAATCTGACCACTCCCAGGCCGGAGCCAAGGATGCCTCAGGGCATTTATTAAAGCTCTCAGGCCACAGCATCATGCTAGATCCAGGCATCAACAGGATACAGCCTGGGGCAGGGCTAAGAACACAAACTTTGACAATAAATAATTTTTCATTCAAATCCAGGATCTACCTGAAACAAGTTACTTAACCTTCCTATTTTATTTTTCAAAAGAATACAAGCACATGGGTTAAAGAGGTAAAAAGAAAGGGTGCTATAGGCATTATACTGAAAGGAGTCCCTTGTTAGTTGCTCCTGTATCCAGATTTTCTGCCTGGAGGCACTTTCTGGACTACAGTACAGGATGATGGAATCCAAGCACAGCATGATGTCTCACTGAGAAGAACAGACAGAAAATGGGGTTCAGGGCTTCTGAAGTGGCCAGAACGTCCAGGTCAGGATATACAATGGAAAGGATTAAAATCGAAGTTCTAAATTAGAAATGCAAGAGCAAACTAAATCCAAAGTAAGTAGTAAAAGAAATGAAGATAAGAGTAGAAATTAGTGAAATAGAAAACAGAACAATAGAGACAAATCAATGAAACCAGATGCTGGTTCTTTGAAAAGACCAATAAAATTGACAAACTCCTGTGTAAACTGAATGATAAAAAGAGGGACAGGAATACTCAAATTACCAATATCTAGAACAAACAGAAGACAATGCTACAGACTCTACAGATAGTAAAGGGAAAATAAGAAAATATTATGTACAATGTTAAGTGAATAAATTTGACAACTTAGATGGGATGGACAAACTCCTTAAAAGACGCAAACTATAAATATTCAGCCAAGAAGGAGCAGGTAAACTGAATTAGCCCAATACCTTGAAAGAAATTCAGTTTGAAGTTAAAAATCTTCCAAGACTGGTAAATTCCACCAGGCATTTAAGGAAGAAATAAATACAAGTTTTAAACAAACTCTTCCAAAAACTGAAAAGGAAAGCATACTTCCCAACTCATTTTCTAAGACCAGCGTTAATCTGGTACCAAAATCAGACAAAAACATTGCAAGAATGGAAAACCACAGACCATAGAATATTAAATAACACATCAGTCACAACTGGGGTTTATCCCAGGAATGTAAGACTGGTTTAAGATTTTAAAAATCAACCAATGTAATTTGCCACATTTATAAAATAAAGGGAAAATATCCTATGATACTCCAATAAATAAAATCAATTGACAGGCTTGGTGAGGTAGCTCATGCTTATAATCCCAACACTTTGGGAGGCCAAGGTGGGAGAATTATTTGAGGCCAGGAGTTCAAGACCATCCTGGCCAACATGGTGAACCCCCTTCTCTACTAAAAATACAAAAATTAGCCAGACGTGATGGCCCATGCCTGTAATCCCAGCTACTCTGGAGGTTTAGGCATAAAAGTCACTTGGACCTGGAGGTTGCAGTGAGCCAAGATCGCAGCACTGTGCTCCAGTCTGGGCGACAGAGTGAGACTCTGTCTCAGAAAAAAATAAAAAATAAATAAAAAATCAATTGACAATTCAGTATCCATTTATTATTTTTTAAAAAAATTGCAGCATAATAGAAATAAAAAGAAACTTCCCTAATCTGATAAAGATCATTTGCAAAAAAAACTACAGCAAATGTTAGAATTAACGGCAGAAGACTGACTGCTCTACCCAAAACAAGACAAAGGCAATGATTTTTACTTCCATCACTTCTATTCAAAAGTGTATTGTAAGTCCAATACAGCACAATAAGGCAAGAAACATATGAGCTGTAAAAATTTAAAACAAGGAAGTAAAACTGTGTTTATTCACAGATGACACGATCACTTACTGAAATCCTAAAGAATCTGCCCAAGAAAAGCCACTAGAACTCATAAATGAATTTAGCAAGATTGCAGAATACAAGCTCAATATGTGAAAATCGACCGTATTTCTATATTGTGGCAATTAAAAAATGGAAAATTAATAAAATAATACCGTTTATAACATCAACAAAAACAGCAAATACCTATGAAACTTCAATGAAAAATGTGTAAACCTTTACATGAAAACTATGAGATATTGCTGAGAGAAGTTAATGAAGACCAATAAACAAGAAAATATACCATATTTGTGGTTTGGAGTACTCATTGGTGCTAAGATGCCAATTCTCCCCAAATTGATCTATAAATTCAACACAGTTTCATTCAAAATCTCAGGCGCTTTTTTTTTTTTTTTTTTTTTTTTTTAGGAACACCATGTCATAAAATATGAAGGGCAGTGGGACGGTTATTAATATGGCAATATTCTCAACACTAATCTATAGATTCAATGCAATAACTATCAAAATCTTTTTTTTTTTTTTGGTAGAAATTGATAAGGTGATCCTAAATTTACTTGGAAATGCAAAGACCTAAACAACTTTTTGAAAGAAAAGTAAAAAGTTGAAGAACTCTCACTTCCTGATTTCCAGGCTTACTATAAAGCTTCATAAATCAAGAGAGTGGATATTGGCATAAAGACAGACAAATAGATCAATGGAACAGAAAATAGTTCTGAAATAGACCCACGTGTATACAGCCAATTAATTTTTCACAAAAATGCCAAAGCAATTACATGGGGAGATGAAAGTCTTTTTTAAAAAATGGGGCTACAACCACTGGATGTCCATCAAAAAATAAAATAAAATAGACCTTGACTCCATTTTGCAACATGTGTAAAATATAATAATTTTAAATAGGTCATAGGCTTAAATGTAAAAGCTAAAATTGTAAAACTGGCCAGTTGCAGTGGTTCCCACCTGTAATCTTAGCATTTTGGGAGGATTTCTTGAGGTCAGGAGTTTGAGACCAGCCTGGACAACACAGCAAAACCTCCATCTCTACAAAAAATTTAAAAAATTAGCCAGGTATAGTGGTGCACACCTGTAGTCCTAGCTAGTCAGGAGGCTGGGGCAGGAGAATCGCTTGAGCTAAGGAGTTCAAGGCTGCTGTGAGCTGCGATGGCACCACTGCAGTCCTGCCTGAGCAGCAGAGCAAGACCTTGTCCGTAAAAATAATAATAATAATAAATTAATGATTTAATCCATCACATTTAACTGTAAAGCTCCTAGAAGAAAACATAGGAGAATATCTTTGCAACCTTGAGGACTAACTATAAAGAAAAAAATGATAAATTAGACATCATCAGAAATGAAGGAGATTTTTAAAAGAAAAAAATTAGACATTATCCAAATTAAAAACTTCTCATCAGGAGTTTTTAGATACTTCAAGGCACGTTAAGTAAATAAATAGGCAAACTCACACTGGGAAAAAACATTTGCAATACATATGCCTGACAAAGGACTTGTATCTAAAATATATAAAAAATTTTTACAACTCAATCAAATGAAAAAGACCAAATTAAAAAATGGGCAAAAGACCAGAACAGACACTTCACAAAGAAAGATACACAAATGGCTAATAAGCATATGAAAAAGTACTCATAGTCATTAGGGAAATACAAATCAAAGCCATAATGAGGTAGGACCATGTACTTGCTGAAATAACAAAAATGGAGAAGACTGAAAACACCAAGTGTTAGTGAGGATGTGGAACAGCCAGATTCTCATACACTGGAAGAGGATGTGGAACAGCCGGATTCGCAAACACTGGAAGAGGATGTGGAACAGTCGGATTCGCAAACACTGGAAGAGGATGTGGAACAGTCGGATTCTCATACACTGGAAGAGGATGTGGAACAGCCAGATTCTCAAACACTGGAAGAGGATGTGGAACAGCCGGATTCTCATACACTGGAAGAGGATGTGGAACAGTCCTCATACACTGGAAGAGGATGTGGAACAGTCAGATTCTCAAACACTGGAAGAGGATGTGGAACAGTCAGATTCTCATACACTGGAAGAGGATGTGGAACAGTCAGATTCTCATACACTGGAAGAGGATGTGGAACAGCCAGATTCTCATACACTGGAAGAGGATGTGGAACAGCCAGATTCTCAAACACTGGAAGAGGATGTGGAACAGCCAGATTCTCATACACTGGAAGAGGATGTGGAACAGCCGGATTCGCAAACACTGGAAGAGGATGTGGAACAGTCGGATTCTCATACACTGGAAGAGGATGTGGAACAGCCGGATTCTCATACACTGGAAGAGGATGTGGAACAGCCGGATTCTCATACACTGGAAGAGGATGTGGAACAGCCAGATTCTCATACACTGGAAGAGGATGTGGAACAGTCAGATTCTCATACACTGGAAGAGGATGTGGAACAGTCAGATTCTCAAACACTGGAAGAGGATGTGGAACAGTCAGATTCTCACACTGGAAGTGTAAAATTGTCCAATCACTTTGAAAAACAGCTTGACAGTTTCTTATATAAATATGAATCTATCCTAGGACCCAGCATTTCCACCCTGAAATGTTCATCCAAAGGAAATAAATAGCAACCTTAGTCAAAATAGTCCCAAACTGAAAACAATCCAAATGTCCATCAATGTTTGAGCAGATAAATAATTGTTTTCTTTTTTGAATCTTGAAAACTTTATTGCTGAGCTAAAGAATCCAGATCCAAAAAAGTTTGTGAGTGTGTATGTGTGTGTGTTTGTATATATGTGGATCTTTTTACATAAAGTTCTAGAACAGAAATAACTACTGTATGTGACAAAAAGCCAGTGTCTGCCTAGCACTAACAGGGGTAGGATTGACTACAAAGGAGTATGAGGGAAACTTTGTTGGTGATAGAAATGTTATATATCTTAATTGTGATGATATATACATAGATGTCAAAATTCATCAAACCATACACTAAAAATAGGTACATTTTATTATATATAAAGCCTTTGCAGATAAATAATTGTGTATCCATATAATGGAATACTACTGGAATAGAAAAAGGAATACAGTACTGATAGATGCAACAATGTAGATCAACCTCAAGAGTTAAGGAAAAGAAGCCAGGCCCAAATGGGTATATAGTGTATGATTCTATTTACATGAAGTTCTAGAACAGGCAGAACCTGTCTATGCTGATGTGAAGCAGAGCAATGCTGGTGGGGGTGGAACTGGCTGGAAAGGACTGACAAAAGTCTTGTATCTAGAATAGATAAACATTATATATTCTACATTAGGGAATATATAGGGCACCAACATTAGGGAATTTTCTGAGTGACAGAAATGTTCTATATCTTCACAGGAGAGTGGGTTATAAGCAGGTATCAATTTGTCAAAGCCTAACACACAGTGTACTTAGGATCCGTGTAATTTACTGTATATAAATTATGCATCACTTCCTAAAAAAAAAAAAAAAAAAAGAGTGAGGCACCAAAAGCTGACTGGAGGCTCCTTATTTAAGGAGGACCCACCATTTTGTTGAGAAACCCCCAAAATGTCAGTTTCTGTTGTGTCGTTCTATTGGCCCAACCAATTTTCAAGAGAAGAAATCTCTTTCATCTCTGGGCTGGGAAGCAAAAGTCTCCATTTGCTGGGATTCCACTTGTTTTCACTGAATCTCCCTGTTTCCACGATGCATCTCACCCCTCCTGGTGCCTCCAAGACCAAAATCTCTGATTTGGTTTCTCTTGATACTCTCCTTTCTCCTGCTGGATGGGGCTGGGGTAGTGGTGTGACCCCAGTGGAAGCAGTAGGGGATCTGGAGGCTGAACTCCTCCTTGCACAGACTTGCAACCCAACCTCCTGTCTCCCTCCCCCCACGCTCCCTTCTATTTATTCCTCTTGGATGAACACTTCAGGGTGAACTGCTGGGTGCTCTGGTAGATTCATGTTTATATAAGAAACTGCCAAACTATTTTGCAAAACGCATGTACAATTTGTTTCTCCTTGGCCTTCCCCTCTGGAAGGCCAGTTTCTACACATCCACCTACATTCCTTCTTCAAAAACTACTGACCTCTCCACTCTTCTCTCTTTGCCCCTTGGGATTTATACCTTTTAACCCCATTATCATTTCACTGTGGTTGTGGGAGGAAGCAGGAAAGAAAAAAAGCACGTGCTTAATTCACTACGTTTTACCTGAAGCCCCTGTAACCTTTCTAAGCCTCTTTTTTTTTAAGCTTAAAACAGGAATAATGACAGCTTCCTCCGAAGGTCATTATGAGAATCTTACAGGCCTGGGCACACTGCCTATCACCTAGTAGAAACACAATACATATTGGTCTCTTGCCCCTCTCTCCCCCATAATTGCATCAGATACCAGTGAAGGGCTGGCTCACTGCCTTCCTCCTTCAGCCCCAAGCCCTGTCTCCAGCCACTCCCTGAGGGGTCTTCCCTCAGGAAGTGAACCTGGGTTTCCTCTCCAGTGGTCTCCAACCCACTGCAGCACCCAGCGTGCCAGATACCCCAATCAGTGCTTCCACTGAGTGAGCTCATTGATTCCTCACAGCGGCCTGTTGCCCACCACCCATTACTCCCTCCTTGCCCTTAGCAGACCTGTCTGCATCTCTGAGCACCTGCTGTGTGCCCATAATGGGGAAGAGCATGCAAGGACTCAAGGCTTTGGCCTCGGTCCTCAAGGAGCCTTCAATTTGCAAAGTACCCTCTCTTTACCTTGTAGGGGGCCTTCTCACTCCAGGTACCCCTCAGGGAGGTTATTTGCAAATGCATGGGATCCAGATGAGAAGAAACAATGCTATCTGCTCACATAGTGTTTACTCTGTGCCATTTTACAAATGAAGGAACTGAGATTCAGGGTAATTAATTAACTCAGTCAGGAAGTGGTAGAGCCAGAGTTCAAGCCTGACTCCAGAGTCTGTGCTCATTGTGCCTCACTGCCTAGTGGCCCTAGGGCCCTTGGCTCAGACCCCAGATGCAAAGAAATATAGAGGTGCACAGACAGCCACAGACCGTTCTTTGGAGATTCTTAGATACATTATGGAGAAGGGCATGGCGGCCGGACAGTCGGAACTCTCATACACAGAGGTGATCATGGTTACCAAGGGTCCTGGGTAGGGATTGTTAAGGATGGTTGGGCGTCTTTGGGAGCTCTATCCCAGCAAGAGGATGTTCCAGGATGGTAGGAAATGCCTGCCCTTCCCTTACAAATTGAGACTGTACCAATTTCACCTTGACAAGGCCCTGAGGCATGTGTGTAAGCTCCTTAGAGAGCCTTTGATACAGCACACAATGGGTCATCGGCCAAACTGAGCCCAGAGCCCGGTCTCCCAGTCTCCATTCCAGCCCCCCTTCCACTGTGCCTCTGTGGCCTTGCCACCACTCTTGGCAGTGAGTGACCCTCGGTTCCTGACCGCAGACACCCTGGCTTTTCCTGACCTCAGGCCGAGAGGCGGGCTGTGCACACAGGATGGTGTCACAAGGGGCCTTCAGTGACAAAGATACTCCTCACATGCCACTCTGGGGCCCAAGTGGCAGCAGGTGGTCAGGCCTAGGGTCGCTTGCAGGTTCTCTTTCAGGCACTCTTGCCTGAAAGGGGCAGGCTCACAACCCACATTATGATCTCTGCGTAGGGGACCAGATCCTGGACCTCATGTGCTCTGGGCCAGCGACTGCGCTTGGAGTAAGGAGATTTGGGTTTGAGTCGTGGTTATTTGAGCACCACTTCCCTAAACCCTTCCCCTGGCCTCAATTTCTTCATCTGCAAAATGGGAATCATGGTCCTCCCTACCTCTTTATCATGGATGCTCTGAGACTGAAGGAGTAACATCAAAGTGTCTTAGAAGCAGTAAAACTCCAACTGACTGTCCCCTTCCCTTCCTACCCTAGAAGCCCTGACCTCCATCTCATTTTCCTTGGCTGCCAGGCCTGGGCCACAACTCCCAGGCCACTAATCTCTGCATAGGCTGAAGGGCACAGTCTGGTGTTGCCAAAGTACAGGATGAGGTGCCAGCTGTCTTCTCAGCCCAGACCTGGGAATGAGAATGGGCAGAGCTGGGTGCAGGCCCTGGGCCACCTCAGTGTACACAGCCCACGCAAGGCATGCCCACAGAGCCTGACTCATGCAGCTCTCACAGCTTTAATGGCAGGGTTTTGGGGACCTGGGAATGAGACAGTTTTCTCTGGGTGGGGTCTTCTTTTTTGAGTATTTTAGGGGCACCACCCTCCTCCTGAGGTCTCTGATCACAACTGTGCAGAGGAAGAAGTTGAGAGCTGAACCTGGGTTTCCTCTCCAGTGGTCTCCAACCCACTGCAGCACCCAGCGTGCCAGATACCCCACTCAGTGCTTCCACTGAATGAGCTCATTGATTCCTCACAGCAGCCTGTTACGGTGGCAGGCGTGATGATGGTTCCATTTCACAGATGAGCGGCCAGGGCTCTCTCCTCCAGGTCACACTCCAGGCTGGATCACCAGCCCCTCCTCTTTCCCAGGCTCCTCTCTGGCCATTATGGCTGTGGCTGGCCAGCCCGGGCCAGTGCCTTCCTACAAGGCCATGTGAGGTTTTCCCTGCCCCTACTCCACCCTGTGACCCTTGGTTCTGCCAGCCTTCAGAGTTGCGGGCCCACGACACCATGGGTACCTACCCATGGGGACAGGCGCAGCCCGAGAGGCAGGGGCCACGGGCTGACACGCTCAGGTTCAGCAGCTGCTGCTCACACGTCCTCTCCCTGCTCAGCTCCAGGTCTGTGTGCAGGTCGCTGCAGTTCACGAAGACCTGGCCTGCTGGGCAGGCAGCAGCTGGAAGAGAAGAAGATGGGAGCGGAGGCCCTGGGGCCTCTGTATGGGCTCCTGGGCTACAGGGACAGCAGCGGGAGGATGAAGGGAAAGATGGGCTCAGAAGCCTCCTCCCGCCCTGGCTGCTGCTGGACATTGCTTGGTTTCCCAGGTACGCCTCACAGAGGGAGGGATGGATCTGTGCTGTCTGTCACACAATGGGACCATGGTCACCAGGACCCATTGCTGCACGTCCCCCATACCAGGTTGCTCCAGGCGCTTCCCCTGCATCATTATATTGAATCCTGCAACAACCCTAGGAAGTAGTATCGTCTCCCATTTTTCCAAATAAAGGAGTGAAGCCACTTCTCCTCCTCCCCAAAGTCATCATAAAGTGAGAAGTGCCCCAGAGGGACAAGGAGAGGGGCTAGAAAGAGGATGACCAGTCTGGCAGGGGGACCAGAGGACTCTGAATGACAAAGACAGTCACAGTCCTTTTACCACTATTTCTGTGACATGAACGCACCCTCTCTCCCTGAGCCGTCAGTAAGATCTGCCCTGCACATTCATACTGTGTGAGTGATATTTTTTATGAAAATTAATAAAACGGAGCTGAGTTCCATGCCCAGACTGGGATGAACCAGAGAGAAAGGCATAGGCACAGGAGGTGAGATAAAAGTTCCAAAGAGCCAGAAATCCAAAGCCAGAAGTGACTAAAGGAAAAGCGCTTCCAGGATTATACACAAAACACGGGGAGGATGCAGGAATCCAGGTTATATGCCAAAGAGGAAATGAAGGCCCAGAGAAGTAAAGTGGGTTGCCCAGGGCTGTACAGTAAGTGAGTGCTGGGGAAGATGTGGACCCAGGCTGGATGATTCCAGAGGCCCTGCTCCTAACCACCTACTGTATGATTATTCTCCGATCCCTTCCTCTATCCCAGGAAGCCCTCCCTGAATGCTCCAGCCCCCAGGCCCTACCCCACCTCCCAGCCTTTCAAAGGTTGACCCCCGACTGTTCCACCCCATCCCTATCTCTGTTGCCTAGGAGGGTCTCAAAAGCCCAGGCTGTCCTGCCCACCTCTGTGACCCCACACCCAGCACTGTCCTGGGCAGAGTCCACCTCAGTAGATACATGACAGCTCAGACAGAGAAAATTGGGACCCAAAGGAAGTCAAGAAACTGCCCAGATACTCAATGTGGTTGCCCCAGGTGGTTGCCCTGAAGGAAGACAAAGTCTCCGCCTCTCCTCTGCAAGCAGCAGGGACAGCCACTAGGGTTGGGCTGAGGCTGGGACAGGGTTTCAGGTGCCACGCGCCAAACTGGAGTCTTTGCCAAGAGGGCAAGGAATACAGAAGTCCCAGTGTAGGGTGAAACCTGGAGTGGGCTCGCGACAGCCTGATCAGTGCTCCACTCCCCACTCTCTTTCACCATGTGGAGCCCCCAGAAGGGCCTCACCCCTCCAGCCACCCTTACCTGGGGCTCTGCTATCACAGCTCATGACTCCATCTTTGCAGTGGCTGCAGAGAGAGAGAGGGGCCCCGGGGTTAGCTGACTGAGTCACTGCAGGATCCAGACACCCCGTGTCACTGCACTCGGGTCACTGCAGAGTTCAGACAGACATCCTCACTCACTTCCCCCTCCCTGCACAGAGCAGGGCTGGGTGTCCCTTCACAGACTCAGCTGCACTGTCTTCAGTCAGCAGCCTCCCTTTAAAGAGAGGACAAGAAGACTGCTACCTACGGAGCTCACCAATGGCCCAGGGATGGGATGTCACTGTCTCCGGGGGAATAGTCCACTCCCTGGAAGTGGCAGGAGCACTGGTTCCTATAAAAAAATGGGAGCGAAGCAAGGTGAGCAGGCTCAGGAGCTGGGGCAGGGACTGCCAAGGACAGGGACCCCACCTTCAGCCAACCAGGGGCATAAGGACACAGGGAAAAGTAATGGTATCTACAGTGACATGTGACACATCTCCAGCGAGCGGAAAAGCCAGTCTGGCACCAGGGATAGAGGTCACGGATGGGTCCCAGATTCAAGCTTTGACAAGGACAGTCACTGGTCTCCAGACACTCCTGCAGTCAGCCTCATTTGGACTGAGGAAGGGAGGGGCAGTAAGAACAGGAGCACAGCTCCTGAGCCCAAGCCATGTCAGGAACGGGGCAGATATTCAGCTGCTGCTGCCTCCTGGCGCAGGTGTCCTGGTTACTCACGCCCAGCATCTATTCCAGTTGCTCAGTGCTGTACTGGTTGTTAAGTACATTGACCTCTGGCCAGGGACACCCAGCCAGGCCCTCCGCATATATTATCTCATTGATTCTTTGCAGCGATTCTATGAGGTAGGGATTCTTATGCTGTCTTGCTTCTTTTGTGCAGGTCATCTAAGGGCAAAGGCTGTTTCCTCCTCACACAGCTCCCACAGAACCTGCCGATTACAGGCATGTGCAGGTCTTGGAGCATGGCAGTGAGTCACGGACGGGACGCCGGAACTCCCCAGCTCCAGTGCTGCTCAACAACCACCTCCCTCTCCCTACGTAAGCCACACAGACCCCCTTTGTTGGCAACACTCAACATCAAGGAGTGAGAGCCGCCAGGGACACATCTGGATCTCAAGGGAGGATTCTGTAGTTTGGGAAGGCCTATGAGTGATTCCTATTTACCCTAGAGGGGCCTCTCTCCAGCCCTGCCACCATTTGAAGACCACCAATTGAATATGTATCATTTTACAGATGGAGAAACAGAGGCCTGGAGGGGACCAAGGACCTTGCCAGTCACCCCAGGATGATATGGGGTTGCTGCCTCCCACTATCCTCCTCCTGCTCTGCCCTCCAGCCACACTGAGAACAAGCTGGGCCTTGGGCCACCCCCTCTTCCTGGAGCCCCCTTCCTCACTCTCTCAGGTCTCTGCTCAGACCTCACCTCAACAGAAAGGCTTTGCTTCCAGGCCTACCTCAATTAACACACCAGGAATGGGACTCCCTGCTCTTACTCTGCCTTACTTGGCTCAACAGCTCTTGTTGCCACCTGTCCATTAAGTGTCTGTTCATTTATGTGTCTGTCTTGCAACCCTAGAATGTGAGCTCCATGAGGGCTGAACTCTGCTTGGTTCATTGCTGAATTCCCAAGTCCTAGAAATGTCTGGAACATACCGGAAAGTAAATAGATTCTGTGGAAGGAGAGGGGAATGAGGAGAGAGAGGGCCCTTGGGCTCTGTGAGGTTGTTGTGTCTTGTGACGAAGCTGCTAGAATGGCCCAAAGGCCAAGGCTGAGGAGAGATCTGGGAGGCAGGCCCCAAGAAGGCAGCCCAACCACCTTACCCACCAAGGTCTGGCCTGCAACCGTGAGGGAAAGCAGGGACACGAGAAGCCCAGCCAGGTTCCCCAGTCTCAGATGCCCTGGAGTCCCCCAGCCTCACCTGCCCACCCAACTCAGAGGTCAAGCTGGCCCACTCACCGGGGGACACAGAGGTCAGCCTGGGTGTCCAGATAGGTGTCCGGTGGGCAAGCACAGCCCTCCACACACTCGTCCCTGCTCAGGTCATCGCCACCATCAATCCCACAGGCCTCAGGGCTGGCCAGGTCCTGGCAGGTTTGTCCACAAAGGGCCACGCAGGGGCTATACTCCTTGGTGGCCTCACAGGACAATGCTGCAGTGGGGGGGGGAGACATGCTTTGTCTCCCTCATCCCCACAGTTGTGTGGAGTGGGGCTGTCATTCTGAGGAGGAGAATGGAGATCCAGAGAAGTTAAGACATTTGTCTGAGGTCACACAGCAGGTCAAGGTCAGAGGCGGGCGCTGAACCCAGATCTGACTCCAGAGTCCCACTGCCTACCAATACGCTGGAATGGCAAAGCAGCGGGTGGGCCCTTCTACAAAGTTCAGCCTGGAAGACCACTGGCAGGTTCTTTCCTCCAAAAGGCATTCCTCTGAGGTAGTGATATTGGGGAAGGGGTGGAGATTACCACCTGCTAAGGCCCTGCACCCACCCCCGTAACTCACGCATAGACACACGCACGAGCCCAGGTGTGTGGACACACACACACGCTCCCACCCCCTCACTCCCCTGGCTGTGTCACACACAGGTTGTGGAAGTCAACCGTGCTCCCTCTAGCAGCCTGTTTTGCTCCCTTTGTCCCAAGACTCAGGACTGCCCTTTCCTTGTGTGGCCACCGTCCCGCTCCTCCCAGAGTCTCCTACACTCTGTGGGATCCAGTAGATCCACTGAGACCATCAAGTTCAGCTGTTCTCAACCCAGGCTGCACATCAAAGCCACCTGGGGAGCTTCTGAAGATGCTGGTGCCTGGGCCCCACTGCCAGATATGTTGTCTTCATTGATACTCCATGTGGCCCAAATGTGTGAATCTTTTGAAAGTTCCTGTGGTAACTCTAATATGCAGCCAGGGTTAAGAACCAGTGGGCCTGTCCAATCCCTTCTGGGGAAACTTTGGTTCAGAGAAAATCAGGGCTCTGCCCGGGGACACACCGCAAGTCACCTGCAGGGCTAGAACAGAACTCAGGCCTCCTGACTCCCAGTACAGTGCCTTTTTCGTTTATTCAACAAACATTTGCTAAAAGCTTACTGAGAGTCAGGCTTTGTGCTAGAGCTGGGGGCACAGAGGTGATGAAGACATGGGAAGGAGCATAGCCCAGAGTCAGGGTAGGGACAGGTAGGGGCTGGCTCATTACACTGAAGTTGTGTGTGTACTCAAACCCCAGGGCAACAGCCAGTGGTCTTTCAAAAGGTGCAGTGCAAGGTGGCTCTGACCAGAGTGGTGGAGGTGGTGACAAGTGGGTGAATTTGGGATTAGCAGGACTGACAGGACTTGAGATGGACTGGAAGTAGGGGTGACAGACGCAGTCTTGAGTCACAGGTCACAGGTGTTATGCCTCAGTGACGGAGGAGATGGGGGCCATTGGCAGAGACAGAGGGCGCAGGAGGAGAAGCAGGCTCTGGGTGCCCTCAGGCTGGAGGAGACTGGAGGGCATCCCAGTGGAGAGTTTCGGGAGCAGGGGACACTCAAGTCTGGAGCTCTGGCTCCTCCAGGCCAGTCTCACATGGGTGGGGTACTCACCACAGGCTGGCAGGCGGGCGCGGAAGTCAACGGGGAGCCCGTGGCGCCGGCACAGGTGGGCGTAGTGGGCCAGCGTGGCACACAGGCAGGGCTGTCCGCAGCGGCAGGCGTCCCTGCGGCACTGCTCAAAGTAGGGCACTGGGCTCAGGAACGCAGAGCAGGGCGCAAACAGCTCTCCTGTGAGCACGCTGCAGGCCTGCACTGAGTAGGAGGCTGGGGCAGGAGGAATAGGAGCCAGGCGGTCAGGGGTCGGTCTACCTGGTGTCCCAGGATTTAGCCTCTCTCTCTCCCCAGGGCTCAGGGGAGTGTGTGTGTGTGTGTGTGTGTGTGTGTGTGTGTGTGTGCACGTGCAGTATGGATGCAGGCAGCTACTTCAGTGTACAGCTGGCTGGGAAAGTATGGGTGTGGTTTAGTACACCTGAGTGTGAATATTCGGCTTGACAAAAATTCCTGGAGCTTACATTCTGGTCAAAGGAGACAGTCACTAAAAAATTCATACAGAAACTTCAAAGGTGAAGAAGCTAAGGAGGGAGAGAAAGCTAAGAAGCAGCATGGGGAGTGTGAGGCGAGGCAGGAGGAGCAACTGCAATTTGAATTCAGGCAGTCAGGAAGGCCTCAGTGAGGGGGTGAGGTTTGAGTACAAATCTGAAAGAAGTGAGGAACTGAGGCATGTGTGTGTCTACAGAAAGAACATTCCAGGAGAGGCAACTGCAAGTGCACAGACCCAGAGAGAAGAGCAGTCCTGACTGTAGAAAGAACAAGAAGGAGGCCAGGGCAGCTGGGGCATGGCAGAGGGCAGTGGGAGTAGGAGGTGAGAAAGGAGAGATGGGGGGGCATGGGCAAAAAGGGTGGGGCCTGGTGGGGCCACGGGCCAACTTCCGCTTTTGCCCTGAGATGGAGAAGCCAGTATAAAGGTGTGTGTGTTTATCTGATAGTGGAAGAATATGAGGCTTCCTGCCTGCCTGGCCCTCACTGTCTCTCCTTTCCCCTCCCTGCTGCTCCTCCTTTTCTTATCACTCCTACAAATTTGGCCAGCACCCTCCTGTCTGGAGTTCCCTTTTCATCTCTCTTAAAGCAGTCCTCCCCAGCCCACTCACTCATGCCTTTCCTCTTCCTCCACCAACTCACCGGCTTGCAGGTGCACATCGCAGGGGTCCAGTGGGGAGCCAGGGATCAGCGGGGAGCAAGCAGAAAGCGTTTTCCAGGAATTGCCAAAAAGTTGTGGGGTGCTCTCAGGTACACCCACTGGAGACCTGCAGCCATGGACATAGCCATATTCACACACTTGCCCATGTGGACCGAGGGGCACAAATAGCATAGATCCAGGTCAGCACCTACTTGCTCATATACACACACATAGTCATAATCTACACATCCATATACACACCCTCAGAGGAGCACATGTATTCATCCAAATACATAACATGTATATGCACACACTCTCAACACACACACACAGAGCACAAATATATGCCAGACATGCATATAGCCAAGGTGATCCACACACAGCCACATTCAAACACATAGAGTTATGGATGTACACATGCACATGCACATGGCACACACACACACACACACACACACACCATTTAACAGGCCCCAAAAGGGCTCAAATTGGGCTAGGACCATACACTTGGGGCGGGGAATGAATATGGCTTCATTCCCCACCCCCAGCTCTTCAGGTCAGAAAAAGAAACAGGGACATCATGAAGAGTATCAAACCCCATGGGGGTAAGACTTTTTTCCTCCCCGCTTCTCCATGGGCAGTTCCTGAAAACTCCTTGGCTCGCCCTTCGGCTCTCTCAGTAGGAAATTATCATACAAGGGACAGTGAAGGGAGGAAGGGGGAGGAGCATGTTTCCTAGACATCACAAGTCTCCAAGAGTCACCAAACCCAGGTGTAGGTGTTGAGTGGAGGGAGGTCATGGTCTCTATGGGGCTCAGGTTCTATCTGGCACCCACCATGCCCATATATTGTTCCAGGGCAATGAGTGCACCCATATTAGGTAGGGCAATATTCTTACCCAGAAGTCACATTTAGGAAAGTGGCAAACAGCATACACACTAAACCAAGGTCTCCTCCTGCTATTTGGCCAGCTACCCTAACATCAGCCCTACCAGGCAAAGCACAGTAAGAATGCCACAGTTTTAAATGTATATGCATTGAAAAGCTCTGAGCTTTATTTTGTTCTTGTTCTTCATAGCAAATCTGAATTCTCTTTTTTGGCTAAAGAATGCCTCCCCTGTTTCTTCTGCATCCCCTAATACATGTAACTCGAAGGACTGGCTAGAAACTCCAGCCTTTAAAATCAACCCTTTGTTCTCCTTTCGAGGAAACTTCCCAAGTTCCTAACCTATGTCTGTGCCCAAATATGTCAGCTCACAGTAAACAGTCTTTCCCTGAATATTGGGAGGCTCACGGGGTGCAAACTCAAGAGCCTTCAAGTACCAGGTAGGAAAGGTATATGTGTTATACTTGCCTGGTGGGTTAGAAAGTGGGAATGTTAGTGTCCTTGGCTCACTAGGGGCTTACGCTCATCTAAAGGTGGTGTCAACTTCAATTAAAACAAACAAAACCATGAGCCAAATCAAAGTCCATCTGAGGTACTCAGTTTTAAGACCTCAGTCTAAAACAGCATTTCTCAAGGTATGGCCCATAGACCTCCCATACTGGAATCTTAGGGGTGCTTATCAAAAATAGGATTCCTGAGTCCACCCTAAATCTTGACGAGCAGGACTCAGGAATCAGTGTTTTAACAAGCTCCTGAGGTGATTCCACACATAGAGGACTGTAAACCGCTGCTTTAAAGAAACATACTTAAATGTAAATGTAGAGAAATAAATAACTAATGGTACATGCTGGGCACAGTGAAGGCCCATGGGAGAGACATTTAAGCAGTGCCTCTAGATACCCAGCCCTAAGGGGCCCATTTCCCCTCTTCTTCCGGTTCCATGGCAGGGCTACGTACAGGAAGTCGTCCTGCGTGTTGCCATTGAAGGTGCCGCAGAGGCCCACGGTGTCCTCCACCCATCGCTGGTCCACCTGCAGGTACAGTCGGAGTCCTTCACGGTCGTAGAGGACCCGCACGCCCACATTCGTCCTCACCCGCAGGAACACGGAGGACAGCCTACGGATCTCAAAGGCGTCTGGGCACAGAATCCGAAAGGGGAGAGTGGGAGGGCAGCCAGTACACACCCCGCCCACCACCACCACCTGCCTGGCGCGCTCAGACTCCCACACCTGGCCCAGTCTTCGCCCCCACTGAAGCCATGCCTGCCATGAAGCTAGTTTGGGGAGGCTTGAGGAAACCCTGTTCAGTGATGAAATCAGGACCCAGAGATAACTTCCCATGGCAGCCTGGGCTGAGAAATTTTTTTTAGCATCAAGTGCCAATTAAAGCTTTGCTCCCACGAAGGAACTGGTACACGTTTCCTCCTCTAGCAGAAGGAGGATTCTGTAACTACCCATTCTCTTCACAGTGGCTACAACACAGTTTTATTATGGAAGCTTATGATACAATTTTAGATTCAAGTGTAACAAATTTAAATTTTAGATTTTATTGTAGAACATTTTATACCCTTTATGGTTTATATTTATTTCTGCAGCCTGTTGACACCCAGTGCATCCCCACTCCTCCCAACCTTGAGCCCCTGTTGTTTTCTTTCTTTCTGGTGCTAGGTTTTTATTTCTTAATCGTTTTGCCATTTTTGTTACATGCGTTTCTTATGAGCTACACATAAATTCCTTGTGGAATCAGACAGTATAACAAGTAGTTAATAAACAAATTATGAGAGTCAGGATGGGAAACACCCATGCATATGCTCATGTTAGGAGAAGCCATCATACTACTAGGAAGCCCACTGTCCTGTTGAGGTGGGAGAAAGACACATTTTTGGAGTCCACATTTTTGCAACCAAAGTGTCCCCTATCCTGATCTACCCAGTACTAGAATATGAGTTTTTGCCAGTGTAGCAGTCCTTTTAGCCAGCGGAGCCTGGAAAGAAACCCTCAGTTCCCAACTAGGTCTGTTGTCTACCCCAAACTGTACCATCTGTGTATGGCGGGATGATCTTGTACTGGTCAAACAGAAGGATATCCCCTGCCTGGGTCAGGGTCACCTGCCTCCGAGGGTCCTGGTGCAGAATCACTGACACTGACTGGACACAGGCTCCATCTTGGTTCTGGAGAGATAGAAAGGTCAATGGGGCAGTATTGGTCTGACCATCCTGCTGGATACAACAGAGCCCTCTAGGGACAGAGACCCCAGCCCAGCTTGAGAGACAGTTTCCTCAGAATGACGGACAGAGCCCCAGGGATATCAGGGATCATCCAACCAAATGCCCTCGTCTGGGAATGAGCAGGCAGAGGCTCAGGTTGGAGAAGGTTAGTGGCAGAATGTGATAACACTAATAAAAATGATAGTCAACTCTCAGGTTATCTGAAGACACAGAGCAGAGATGGAACCCACATGGCCCAGAGTCCAGCCTGAGAAACACTGGCCTCCCCCATCTCATCACAACCCAGAACTTTAATTTCATCGCTTTATGGGTATTTTTATAATTCATTTCATGTGTCACATCCTGCATTCCACTGACAGGCAGGCAGGAAATGAGGTAATATTCTCTGGCCTCAGGTTCTCTATCTCTAAAATGGCCACACATTGGGCCCCTTTTATACCTCCCTCCACAGGAAAATATCCACACAATCATTCATTTAAACACTTAACTGAGCACCAAATATGTGCAAGTCATACTGTATCAGACTTTATGGATTCAGTGATAAGACTAAGTTTCTTTCCTCATGGAAATTAGATACTGTGTGGCACACAGACATTAAATAAGTAATTACAAAGTTGATTATTCAATTATAATTGTGATCAGTGCTATAAGCAGGTGTAGAGTGTTAGAAAAGCATATGACTGAACCAGACTTAGTCTGCAGAGGTAGGAAAGGCCTTCCTAGGGAATGATAATAACATAAAATTATCATAATAATAAAAGCCATAATAATACCACAATATTATTAGGGTATGACAACCAACAATTAACTTTCATATGGAATTAGTATGTGCAGGTGCTGTTCAAATCTGTTTACATATATTCGCTCGCCGAACTCTCATAACAATCTGATTAAGAAAGTATTACTAACATCTCCATTTTGCAGATTAGAATACCAAGGCTCATAAAACGGTGACATTTGAGTTGAAATCTGAAGGATGCATGGAAGCTAGCTGGGCAAAGAGAGAAGAGGAGGAAGGAGACATTCAGGCAAAAGGAACAACTTATACAAAAGCTCTGTTATGGGAAGTCGTTTAATGCATTCAAGGGCATAAAGAAGACCAAAGGGACCAGAACCCATCAGGAAAAGTGGTTTAAGATAAGGTTAAAGGCTGGGCACAGTGGTTCACCCCTATAACTCCAGCCCTTTGGGAGGCTGAGGCGGGAGGATGGCTCGAGCCCAGGAGTTCAAGACCAGCGTGCTCAACATAGAGAGACCCTGTCTCTACAAAAATAAAAAATAAAAATAATTTTTAAAAAGATTCAAGAGGTAGGTAAAGGCTAGCTTAGGCAGAGCCTTGAAATATTTTTAGACTTTATCTTAAGTCCAACAGCCAACCAGAGAAAGTGAACCAGGAGAGTGACACAGTGAAGTGACAGAACGATGAGGGCTTGAAACTTTAAAGAAAGACATTGTGCAACAAGCCACAAGCATCCTTCTGAGTTCCTGCCCAGGAGGACAGGAAATCCCTGAAACAGTTCAAAATCATTGTGTCTAAAACATCATCTTCTTTGTTCAACCCACTCATCCTCTAGTCCCCTCTGGACATGTCACCTGTGTGGGAATAAAGCCCACACCCTTTAGTCAAAAGTTTCAGGTTCAAATCCTAATGTAACTGAAAGCTATGAGACCTTAAAGAAGTCACTTAAATTCTCCAGATCTCAGTTCTCTCCTCTGCAAAATAGAGAAACAACAACACTTGGTTGTACCCAATCCTACCCAGTTGGGTACAGATTTTTAAATGTGCATAAAATATTTTGGAGGTTGCATTTACCTGCAAAAGCCCACAGAACTTTACTAAGAGTGAAACTTGCTGTAGGCAAATTCTCACAACCATGTAGGAGGGGACCCCAGCATGAAATGTAGACGACAACAAAATAATCTAACTGCATTACAAATGTATGAAACAAAACTCAGTGAAAAGAGTGGGAGGAAAGGTGTTGACATAAGTAACTTTGTAAATAAGTGGAATTTATAAGACTAAAGGCAAAAGAAACTGTGCACGAAAACTGTACTTTAGTTGATACAGTTATTTCCTATAGAGATATACATTAATAATAGGAATATACATGTATACTGGAATTGAACAATTAGGTAAATGGATGGTGTATGGTGAAGGCCAGGTTTCTTACTGTTAGTGTGAGTATTTACAGATAAGCAAGAGGAGGAAGCTAGAATGATCCATGTGGAATGGATTAGAATTGGATGATCAGTATGAAGTCATGTTTAGCACACATAGAGACAGATGGTTATATAGAGAAATATTTATAGTTATGGGTATATACAAAGATGAACATGGTTATGCATATACAGTCAGCTGTCCATATCCAGGGGTTCTGCATCCATGGATTCAACCAACCACGGATTGAAAATATTTGGAAAAAAATATGGATGTTCACGTCTGTACTGAACATGTATAGACTTTTCTTACCATTATTCCCGAAAAATATAGCATAACAACTATTTATATTAGCATTTACATTGTATTAGGTATTATAAGTAATCTAGAGATGATTTAAAGTATACAGGAGGATTAGCATAGGTTATATGCAAATACTATATACCATGTTACATAAGGGATTTGAGCATCTGTGGATTTTGGTATCTGTGGGGGTGGGGTGCTAGAACCAGTCCCTCACAGATAATGAGGATATTTCCTTTCTCTTCAGCTAAGAAGGCTTAAAAGAAGTCATACCCCAGTAGCAATGAGCACATCTCATACCCAGATCTTGATTCTAATACCATTGTCCAACAAAAGGAACCAGGAGAGCCTAGTAATATTTTTGGAGAAATGGATGATACTAGGACTGGGACGGGAACTATACATGATAGGCCTGGTGCATCTAATAGGCCCAGAAAGTAAAGATGTGAATGCACACACACACACTCAAGCTCCACCACCACCAGCATATACACACACAATGATGAAGGTATGTCAAAGGGACACAGGAGTCAGCTGAATGATCTCCCAGTGCCCAAAGCTGGAACAATTCAAGTAAGAACATAAAGGTATAGTGGATTATAACTCAAAGTATAAAATAAGTAGCCATAAGTCTATGCTGATATAAATAAGTAAATGGGAGAAAAGAGACAAATCTCCCTGGCAGAAAAGTTCTAAACAATGTATGTAGATTCTCTGCCTTCAAGGAGGGGGAGAATAACTTCCCACTCTGTAAGTGTGGGCTGCCCATAGTGACTTCCTTCCAAAGAGAACAGTATGGAAAGGGGGAAAAAGGAATAAGTTTACAGTGGAGAAACCTGAAAAATACTACCTACACCAGATGATCAAGGTCATAATCAACAGTGATAAACCGTGTTGATCGTACATACCATGGATAAGATGTGATGAACATGGCACTTTACCTCTGTGATCTTCCTCCCAAAAAACCATAACCCCAGTCTAACCATGAGAAAAAAAAATCAGACAAATTCCAATAGAGGGCCATTCTCCAAAACACCTGACCAGCATTCTTCAAGCTTTCAAGATGATCATAAGCAAGGGAAATCTGAGGAACTGTAACATCTATGAAGGGCCTAAGGAGACATGATGACTATACGTAACCTGGTACCCTGGATCAGAAAAACGACATTAGGTAAAAAACTATAGAAATCTAAATAAGGTATGCAATTTGGCTAATAGTAATCTATTAACATCGTTTCATTATTTTTAACAAATGTACCCTACTAATGTAGAATGTCAAGGGAAACTGGTTGTAGGATAGACAGGAACTCTAGGTACTATCTTGGCAATATTTCCGTAAAGCTAAAGATGTTTTAAAACATAAAGTCTACTTTAAAAACCCTTTGAGGACTGCAAACACTGCATAGATTCTGGGGTGGATGTGTTAAGACGCTGTGATAACTTCCAACCCTAGGTCAGGCTCAGCTCTGCCTCCTGCTGGCTGTGGATTCTCGAAAATGCCCCAAGCCTCTGTCAACCTGTCTCATTATATTTAAGATGGGGAGAATGATAACTACAACATGGGGTATGTTAAGACTTAAATTACATGTTGTTTGCAAAGTAATTAGTCAAAGTTCAAGGCACTGTGTAAATACTTTATCATTGTCATTATCATCCTCTCTGTGAATGTCCCTGCGCCACTCCATGCTGGTCACCCAAGACTGCAGTCATAGCTTCATCTTTAACTTCTCTCCCACACACTCCCCACTTCACCAGACACAGTCAGTCAGTTGCCAAGTCCTTCTGCATCTGCTTTAATGGATCCTGGAATATTCCAACCTCGTTGTTTTTCTCATATAATCTAATCAACCCTTGGAGTGCCCTCCCTCTCCTTACCCAGGCATACTGATTTCTATGAATATTTTTAGGCTCACTTTTTAGGTCCCTCAGACCAAATGCCACTTCTATCGTGAGGTTTTTTCTGACCCTTTTTTCTGACCTGCAGGACTGTTCCTTCCATAAAGCTCCCCTGTGACGGCACTGATCGTGTTGTAGCTTATATGGAAGCTGTCTAAAGACTCCCTACAGACCACAAGAGCCTGGAGATAGGATCAGGGTCTGATTACTCTGCGTAACCTCACCATGCCCAGCACAGAGCTGGCACAGGGCTGGCCCTCCATGGGCCCATCACATGGGTGAAGTCACAAGGAGGAGAGCTGGCCCAAGGTAAAAAGAACCTGCTATCAAGAGGCACTGTCCCACAAAGAAGAGGGTTGCCTCAGGCCAAGGCTGGCCCACCACCTATCAGAGACCTCAGGCCAAGGCTGGCCCACCACCTATCAGAGACCTGGTAGAGAGAAGGGCTGATGGCCAGGCGTGGTGGCTCACATCTATAACCCCAACACTGGGAGGCTGAAGCAAGTGAATCCCATGAGCCCAGGAGTTCGAGACGAGTCTGGGCCACATGATGAAGCTCCAACTCTACCAAAAAAAAAAAAACAAAAACTAGCCAGGCATGGTGGTATGTGCCTGTGGTACCAACTACTTGGGAGGCTGAGGTGGGAAGGGACACTGAGTCTAGGAGGTTGAGGCTGCAGTGAGCTGAGATTGCGCCACTGCATTCCAGCCTGGGTAACAGAGTGAGATCCTGTCTTCAAAAAAAAAAGAAGGGGATACTGAGTAAGGGACCCTGAGGCCCAATAGCCCCCAGGATTCTGTGAGTGGGAAGGAGCCGCTGGGCTGTGCCTGTGTGTCCTGTCTTGTCTTATGCCACCCTCAGGATGTGATGGGAATGACCCCACTTTTGAGGAAGAGCAGCCTCCTGACTCAGAGAGCAGCCAAGCCAGGGCCGGGCCATTCTCTAGCAGAAAGAAGGGAGGGGGACACTCAGGCCAAAAGGAGAAGAAAGCCCAGTCCTCTGCCTCATCCAGTTCAGTCTGTGTCCCCAGGGCCATGGAGTGACACCTTCAGCTGATGCCTGCTCACATTCAGGGTCCTCAGTGCTAGGGGCTGGAGCAAGGCCAGCAGGGAGGCAGGACTGTGGGGCAGCTGCCCTGGCTGTGGGTGTGAGCTCCTGCTGTGATGCACAGGGAGGAGCTTGGGCACAGCCCAGACTGGGGCTTCCAGGGTTGGCTGAGCATGATCAGCCCAGGGACAACGGAGTCTCTGCTGAGAGACAAACAAACCCCCATCTACCCCAGACTTGCACGTTGGCCATTTTCTCAGTTATGTTCACAGGTGACTGACACAGCTCATGAGTCATGTCCTCCAGGAAGCCCTTCTGGATCCACTTCACACCTCTGTCACCCAGTGCCCAAGTAAAACAACAACAACAAGGAGTTCCCCCGTGGAGATCCACCCTGTGCCCCCCATGTTCTCACAGCTGGCTATAGCCCAGTTACAACAGTTCACTTGCCTGCCTTGCTCACCAAACTATAGGGCCCAGGGAGGTGGAGCCATGTCTAATTCATCCCAGTCTCCAAGACCCAGCTCAGCTTCTGGCGCAAATAGGTATTCAATGTTTGCAGAAGGAAGGACAAAAGGATGGAAGGAAGGAAGCAAGGAAGGAAGGAAGAGAGGGACAAATGTTGAAGATGCAATCCAACGAAGCAGAGAAGATAAAAGTTGAATTAAACCAATTTTAGAGATTTTTTTTAAAAAAACACTGAGGTCCACTCCATGATCAGAAATTCCAGTTAATAATTTATAAGGAAGAGATTTTTGTGTGCCATTCACACTGGTCTTTCTAACATTGTTTTGAGCTTATTTCAGTAAATATTTTGGGATTTTTTTTTTGTAAAATGGGTGTAATTTTCCTAATACAAGTGTGCAACAACAAAAGAAGTTGCCTGCATGCCAGTTCAAATTGTTCGGTATAAGGGTGCTCTTTAAAGACACAGAGTTATCCTAGAAACTTCATTCTTTTTTATTTGAAATTTTAAGTCAAGTCCTTTATAAAGACCATAGCAGTGCAAAATGGTGTACTTTTTAAAAAATTGTGGAATGTAAAATGTTTGAAAATTAATTTTCTTTGTGTGTGAAGACATGTAAAGTATGGAAGGAAACCAACCATCAAAACTAACTTTTTGTAGATAACCATTACATTTCTGTGTGTGTGTCTGTGTGTGTGTTTTGTTGTTGTTGTTTGAGACGGAGTCTCACTCTGTTGCCCAGGCTGGAGTGCAGTGGTGTGATCTCGGCTCACTGCAAGCTCCACTTACTGTTTCAATGCCAGCAGGTATTCTACAAGAGATTTGTTTCATAAATTAATTGATTTAAAAGTAGTGCCAGTGTTACACTTTCATATGTACATATATATACACATGAATATAATATATATATTTAGGTAGTAAAATCCTAAAACAAAAGCCAAAAACCCACTGAGGCCCGGGAAAGGGAAGTGACTCAGTCAGCAGAGGTGCTTGGGCTGGAACCCAGTCTTCTTCCCAGAGAGAAGAGGCAGAAGGTATGGGCCGTGGGAAGACCTGAGCCCTGTCCTAAGTCCCAGTCTCTCTCGGGGGCAGTAGGCAGGAGTAGCTGGGTGGATCGGGCCTGGGGAACCCCAGCTCTTACCAGGCCACATGGGGCGTTCTGCAATGTCACGGTGAAGGTGCCCGAAGAGCGGCTCTTGGCCAGGATGTACTGACACGTGGCGGGGAACGTGTACCGGCGGCCGTCAAAGGTTGTGAAGTGAATGTCACCAGTCACTGAGCACTCAGCTGAGAGGTAAAGAAAGACCATTGACCCACGGGAGCTGCCCCAGGGGAACTCTGCCCTGCAAGCTCCAAGCATGAGGAGGACACAGCACCCCGCCCTCCAGAATAAGAGCAGTGTAAGGAATGAGGCCTGGCCTCTGAGAGCCCTGGGCAGTGGGAGACGCAGGCCTGTTCCCAGAGAACTCTCTGAAGACAGGCACAGCCCTGCCCTGGGGATCTCCCTCGGAGGGGAGACCAGGGCCTGGCCTTGAGGACCAGCCTTAGTCCAAGTCCTCCTAGCTCAGGAAGGTCCTTAGATATATGGAACCCATGGAAAAGCCTTCTCCTTCTGGAAAACCCTTCCTGGCAGGGGCTGGAGCCAGACCTTAATTAGGCAAAGTGATTCTGAGGAAACAGGGGCCCGGGCTTAGCCAATGGAACTGAGTGACACCCCCACCCACAGTAAGCCTGGCCCCCAGAGATTCCTTGCCCAAAACCAGACTGGTGGAAGGGAGTCTAGTACAAGGTGGGGGTCAGACATACCTGGGCAGACAGCTGTGCTGCACTCCCACTTGCCTGCGGTGCATGTGCTAAAACACAGAGACCGTGGAGGCAAAAGGTCACCCCTCGAGGCCTGGGCTAGATGCTGGGAAACTGCAGGGCCCACAGCCCTCAGTCTTCCCATCTCTAAAATGGGTGGTAGAGATTTCCCCCATGGATTGGATCTCACGAGATTCCCCTGGGACTCAAAGGTACTGAGTGAGTGCCCTGACGCCAGCCATTAGCACTCCTAGACCCCAGATGGGCAGCCCTCGTGGAAAGCGTCAGTGGCCATGCCCCACATCCCACTTCCCAGCAGCAGACACAGACCAAGCATTGCAGTCTTCCTTCACCACAGAGCCAGGTGGGTACAGAGTCCCATGAAACTCACAGGGACACTCAGCTGGTGCCACGCAGCCCCCATCCTCGAAGATGAGCCCTAGAGTGACAGCAAAGGGCCAATTAACTCACCTCTGCCCCTGTTCACAAACCATTTGTGGCTCCCCAGGGCCTGCGATAAAGATCCCCTTGTCTAACTTCTTTCATCTCTGAACCCACTTCCAAACTTTCTCCTCCATAAATCCTTGGCTCAGGCCAGAAGTGAGCACCTGATGAAAGAATCCCACCTCTAGACCTTTGCTCAGAGAACTGCCCACAACCCCATTCCCAATCTGCACACGAGCTTCTCTTTACCACCTCTCAAAAGCCTGTCACCACATCGAAAACAGCTTAGGTACCAGGCACCACCTCCTCCAGGAATGACTTCCCTGACAACCTCTCCCCATTCTGAATTCCTGTAATTCTTCTTGTCTGAACCCCTGAGCTGGCCTTCACCACATCATACCCTAGACTGGTCATATGAGTGTCATATCTCTGAAACCAGATTCTGGTTCCCAAAGTCAATGCTTTTATCTTTATATTTTTTATCTCAACCATCCTCCTAGCCAAGTGAGTTTCACACTGTAGATGTGCTGCAAATTTATACACTGAAAAACAGATACAGTCCCCATACATAGACCAATGCTTAAACCAATGTATATGTATATATAAACCAATGACCTGTTCTCATACACACCTTAAGAAGCGCAGTTCTGATTAATTTAAATATCCCTATGAAATCAAATGTCTTGACGAATCTCTCAAGAGGCTGCAGTTCTGTCCCCACCCTCACTTCCCTTAAATCATTTATTCATTTGTTGTTTGCTCCCCCCTTCCCTTCCCTTCCCTTCCCTTCCCTTCCCTTTCCTTTCCTTCCTTCCTTCTTTTTCTTCCTTCCTTCCTCCCTCCCTCCCTCTCTCCCTTCCTTCCTTCCTTCCTTCCTCCCTTCCTCCCTCCCTCCCTCCCTTCCTTCCTTCCTTCCTTCCTCCCTTCCTCCCTCCCTCCCTCCCTTCCTTCCTTCCTTCCTTCTTCCCTTTCTTCCTTCCTCCCTTCCTCCCTCCCTCCTTTCCTTCCTTCCTTCCACAAACAGGCATCTTCTGAACTCCTGTTTGATGCCCATCTGTGCCAGGCCAGAAAGATGGTGCCAGGCACCTACGCCTGCCCCTAGCATACCATTGGGGCAATAGCAGCCATCCACACAGGCGATCTCACTGTCCACGCAGGATGCCCGGGGCTGGCAGGAGGCAGGGCAGCAGGCGATGCACTCATTGTAGGTAAAGGCCTTCTCCTTGCAGTGCACAGCTTGGGAAGGAGGGAGTCCATGGTTTGTCAGTTACTGGCCCCAGCTCTGCCAGGACCCAGCTCCTACCCAAGGCTGTGTGGTGGGGATGGGAGGCAGGGCTTTGATTTTCATGACTCCCTAGTCCCAGAGGGAGCACTGGGTGCCCAGAAAGTTGACAAGGAGAAGGAATTACAAGGGGAGGCTCTGAGAATCACCCAGGCTAGTCCCTCCCATTCTGAGCCTCAGTTTTTTCATCTGTCACATGGTAATAAAACCTTGGGGCTGAGAGTTCTGACAACTGTGATTCTGAGCAGGACAAGACATTGAGCTGAGGCCTGAGAATGCCACCCACAGCCTGAAGCCCTCCCTCCCCCACTACTGGGCTGCACCTACTGCATTGCCGGAGCTGGGTCCTCCAGCCCTGCAGGGGCCGCCCTGCCTGGGCACACGCCCGGGCATACTCTGCAAGTGCCCGGCACCAGGTGGCTTCATCGCCCATTGATCTGTGCAGAGAAACCAAGGGTCTCACTGGAACAAAACCCAAAGTGCCACCAGCCCGCCACCATCCCATAGAGACTGCCAGGGCTTCAGGGCACCTCTCCTCTCCACCCAACTGGGAAAGGCTGCCCAGGAAGGCATCTAGGTGAACAGATGCCTAGACTTGAGCCACAAATCCTGGATTCTAGTCCCAGCATTGCCACTAACTTGTTGTGTGATCCTAATGGGGTCTGGCCCCATTTCCAGGCTTCAGTTGAATGGGGTGACTCTGTCCCACTTAGGCAGATAAGAATTTCAGAGCCTTGGGAAGCAGATCTGGCAGTGTCTGGGATCACCCAGCTTGGTGGCCCATGTGCTGAGCACTCACCCCAATACAAGAGGGTTCCCCATAGCCCACACCACCCCTACTCACTGGCAGAGATCACTGGTACAACTGGCTGTGAAGGGCAGAGGGCTGACATAGGCATGGCAGGCATCAAACGGGGGCCGCAGTAGAGCCTCACACTGCTCATACACGCCCTAGAGCAAGGGACCAGGAGCCAGGGCTGGGGGCTGGCAAAGCCACACACAGCCCCACAGAGAACCCCAACTCGAACTGGAGAAAAAGGGAGAGGAGGGCAGCGAAGAGAGGGATAGGGCCAAGGGCACCAGCCAGTCAGGTCCCACAGCCAGTGGCTTTTGAAGAATTGGAGAGCACGTCAGGCTCTAGGGTGGCGGAGTCTTTCCCCAAGCTCCAGACCTGCATGGTTCCTGGGTTCTGCTGCAGGCACGGTGGGCGAGGCAGGGAGGAGGTTGTGGGCCCTGGAGGCTGGTTAGGGGCCTGCTCCTGCCAGCTGTGCACAAACTCAACCACGTCGTCAGTCAGCTTCCCTGGAGGAGGGAACTGACATCATGGTGGGGCAGCGATGGGGTTGGGTGTACAGGAGGGACAGAAGGCTCTAAGGGAAAGCAGATCCCAAGGGATGGGTAAGGAGTTTTGAAGAATCCGGTCTCCTGAGCTCCCATCTCAATCAGGCTTTCCCAACTGAGCCATTCTCCTGAAAAAGCTATTTGGTAGTAATAGCCAAGAATGCTCAGGAACCTGTAGTAGCTCCCTATGGCTCCAAACTCAGGGGATGCAGCACCACGCACTGGAAAGAGAACTGGTGTGTTAGCCTGAACAAGTTCCTGTGTGTCTCTGAGCCTCATATTTGCCATAGGGAACATAATCCCCCAGTGAGATTCATGCAAGGACTACTTGAGATGATGCATGTAAAGTGTTTAGTATGGTGTAGGTGTTCAAAAGGGGTCACGACCCTTCTGGCCAGAGCCACCATGATTTGGCCCTGAACGCTTCACTCACTTCCTACCACTCCTCCATAGGTGTCTTTAGCTGGGCCAATTCTCTCCCTGGCTGTCTCTAGCCCTCTGCTCCCTGCCTACCCACCCCATCCCCCACATTGCAGGGTCAATCCCACCTGCAAAGTGTCCATTAAATACCTACACAACCCTAGTGGGAATTCTTATTATGACTATTTTTGCAGATGAGGAACCTGAGGTTGACAGTAGTTTAAGAACATGCCCAAGGACACACGTTTGTTAGGAAGGGGCCCTTGGGCTTCCACGGGGTCTTTAATACCATGACCATGACCCCAGGGCTCTGTTTCAAGTCCCCTCCAACTCCTCCCAGCCTGACCTGTACCCCAATCCCCACCAACACCTCTCAGAGGCCACCTGTCTGCGCCTCACCATAGCTGGTCACCAGATCATCCTGGGGGTCAGCATTGTTGTTCCCACACAGCCCATGGGTCCAGCCCAGGAACTCTGGACTCATCTTGATGTAGACAGCTGAGGCACCGTCCCAGGCCAGCGTGAAGGCTGACTGATGCCGCACGATGACGTAGCCAGCAAGCCGCTGCAGACGCACGCTCCCCATTACATGAGGCAGTTGGACCCTGCAGGGCACATCCCAGAGCTTCAGGGTATCCACAACACCTCCACTAACCCAGTCTCTTCACCGAAGGAACACCCAGTCCCTAACCCTTGATCCAATGCTCCCACTTCCTCTCCCCATGAATTCCCAGAATTCCCAGGTGCCTGGAAGTATACCAGTAGACATGGATTCCTTTGTCTTTAGACGTTTTTTAAAATGGCAATTTCCCAGGCAGGAATAAATCTTAGAGTGAGTGACTCCAAGTTCCTTTCTCCCAGACAGGACAGAATATAAGCAAACATCTGCTTTATCTTTTTGGTGGGGAGCAGGAACCAAGTGGAAACAGAAGCCAAGAGAGGAGGAAAACTAGGAGTGCAAGAAAAGATGGTGGGCTCCAGCAGGCTTGACCACTTTCCCAGTTTTTCTGGTACAGGGACCGCTAGCCAATCTGGAATTTGGCAACCTTCAACTCAGCAAAATATCAGGAAAGGGAAACAAAAGTAGTGTCTAACTAGCCACAAGACCCATTTACCAACTCTTCGTTCACAGGATAAACCTATAGGCCATCAATTTTACACTCAGCCCCAGAACAATTGGTTGGTTATCCAGTTTCCAGATCTGAAGCAGGAGATGAGGACAGGGAGAAGTGTCATTACAGGAAGACCCCATGACAGCAACAAGAAGTGACAGTGGACATCAAGGAAAGGAAAGAACAGTGAGGAAGAGATGCAAGAAAGATTTCACAAAGGACCACAGTTGTGGCAATTTAGTGTGGGAGCAAGGGGTTCCCACTCCTCTGGTGGTCCCCCAGTCATCCCTGATGGCCCAGCAAGATAACTGACATTCACAATGACCCTGTGTCATCAGAAATGGGTAAAAGTGTGCTCAGAATCTGCTGATAGAAGGTAGAAACTGCATGATCCATTTGGGAAGATTTGGGGAGGGAAAAGTAAGCGTGCTTATCATGACAAACTCTCAACTCGCTGGAAAACTCTATTTTCCTGAAAGCCTGCTGTCTGGAAATCTGCAAGATCTGAGAGTTCCAGGGAAAAAAAAATCATTCTGCAGACCCCACTGGCAAGAAACCCAGTGACCTGCCCGTATGCTTCCGCCCTGATGGTGGAAATTGCTGTTTGTCCCCAGAAAGCAATTTCCTTTGGGCTTGAGAAGAGCGGATGCTCACCCATCCACCACCACCAGTGTCAGAGATAGGACAACTCGATGTGGAAGGTGTTAGAGTTACCTTGCGCCTCCATGGGTGACTTCCTTGGCCAGATGGATCTCCTGCTCACCCGCAAAGAAGAGGCTGACAGCCTTGGAGCAGGCGTAGGGGGAAGAGCCGCACTGCGGATCATTGTGCACCTGAGTAGGGAGTTCAGAGGCTGGTTTGCAGGCTTCTGCTACCGGCCTGACCCTGAGATTCACACCTTGTTGAGTTTCCATTAATGCTGATGGCCTGTCCCCTGCATATCAGCCACCTTTCCTCTGTGATTTTGCTCAGTCTCTATATATCACAGAGGGGAGGCAATGGATTCACACAGAGGTGAAGTGACTAGGGCCACACACACAGAGAACTAGGAAATCGCAGAGCCAGGATTCTAGCCCAGATCTGGATGGCTCAGATCCCAGGGCTCTTCCCAGTCAATCATTCCATCTCTCTATGCCTATTTCTGAACTTTTTTGTTTATTCTACCCAGGATATCCCATCAGATTGAAGCCCAACAGACGTACTCCACCATCTCACACTCATACAGAACACAAACACACACATCTATACACACTCCATAAATTTCTCACATGACACTCTCAGTGTGCACACTATACACACACTCCCCTTTCCCCATGCCCCTGGCAGGTACAGATTGTAGCTTTCCCCTACACGTATAGGCACACATCTCACTCCTGAGCTGCTGTCACACACACACATACGCGCACACACACACACACACACACACACACATCTCCTCTGCCCCCATTCAGACAGAACCCAGACTCCAAAGGCCATAGACCTAAAAGACAGGGTCGGGTAGAGGGAAGAGTTTCCCAGGGCTTATCCCTGCCAAGTGTGGAAACCCTTCCCAGGAACGCATCTTCCACCAGATTACTGTTCAATGTGATTAAGCAGGCTGGAGCCACTTCAACTACAAGTGGGAACTGCGAAAGCTACCCCATGGTCTAACTAAAGGGTTTTCAAGCTTTTGTGACCACGACCCACAATAAGAAATACACATATAACTAAAAGTTTTACAAAATAATACTAATCCCTATGATGCATAATGCATTCTTACAATATTTTCTATTTTATTTGCCTCATTTTTTTAATGATGGTTGTGATTCATTAAGTTGATTTTGTAACCCATGAATGTATGGCAATCCATTAGTCTAAGTAATTGTCACATGATGGATCATGAAAATCCCTGCTATGTGATAGGCCGAGGCAGAGAAAGGAAAATTGGTGGCAGTTCCCCACCCATCCAGGCCATGGTCCCTAGGGCAGGCTCATAGGTCCATGCCTGAGACAGAAGGCTCACAAATGGCTAGCAGAGGGGAGACACTGAACACTGGGGTCTCCCCATACCCCCAACCCCTTGACCCTAACTCAGTACTGACCAAGGTGCCCTCCAACAGAGCTGGTTCTCCAAAGAGACTTTCCTCCAGGTGGAGGGGTATTGAGCTGTGGCTGAAGGTGGCTCCCGGTTTAGCACACGGACTAGGCATGAAAATCAGGCCTGCCTGACAGTGGCTTTCACACATGTGTTCCCTTACTTCACAAACCTTTACTGAGCACCAATCCAGGCACAGAAAGACATGGCCCCTGGCCTAGAAAGCTCAAAGCTGGTAGAGAAAACCAACACAAAACCAGACCTTTGTAAGATAAATACAATGACAGGGTCATAATGTGGAACTTTGAGTTACCCAGTGAGGAGCTCCTCAGCCGGCTTGGAAGGTCAGGAGATCCAGGAGGGCTTCTTAGAGGAGGTGACTCTAAACTGAGTCATCCAGGACCTCCCTCATTTTTCTGAGGCACTCTTCTTTCTTAGCACCCAATGATGTTTTTCCCCAGAATGTTCTCAAGTCTGCCCACACTCTCCTACTCTTCACTTGGCTAACTCCAATTCATTCCTTAGATTCCACTTAAATGTCACTTTTGCCAGGCACGGTGGCTCACGCCTGTAATCCCAGCACTTTGGGAGGCTGAGTAGGGTGGATCACGAGGTCAGGAGATCAAGACCATCCTGGCTAACACAGTGAAACCCCGTCTCTACTAAAAATACAAAAAGAAATTAGCGGGGCGTGGTGATGGGCGCCTGTAGTCCCAGCTACTCGGGAGGCTGAGGCAGGAGAATGGTGTGAACCCGGGAGGCGGAGCGTGCAGTGAGCCGAAATCGCGCCACTGCACTCCAGCCTGGGTGACAGAGTGAGACTCCATCTCCAAAAAAAAAAAAAAAAAAAAAACGTCATTTTCTCCAGGAAGCTTTCCCAGGTCACCATCCTTCCCAATAAACAAGATTGGGTTTTCAGGACTTGTTCGTTTAGCATTTGGCATTTCTCCTCGGTAGCATTCAGTTGCACTTGAAATAAGTCATCTGATTTGATGTCTTTCTTCATTAGACTATAAGTTCTGTGAGGACAAAGACTATATCTGTGTTGTTGTCTACAGGGCCTCCCACCACCAAACCTTATGCCAGAAGAGAGTACAGTATGCACTTAGTAAATGGTTGATGAATGAGTGGCTCAATGAATGAATGGCCAGAGTGAGTGGGTGAGGAAGAGCTGTGGAGCCCCTAGGTCCTTCCAGGTGCAGACTGCCTGGGTGGGAGGTGGGGGGCGATGCAAGGAGGAAGGTGCCAGTCTCTCTAACTATGACAAGTAGAGCCCAGGCCAGCGCAGCCTTCAGAGCCTAGGGAAGCCTTCCTGAACAGACATGGCAGGGGAAGCCTCACCTGGATGGAGAAGCTCTGTCCCTCAGGCTCATGGAGCCCCACCAGCGTGTAGCTGCCCTTCCCAGACAGGTAGTAGTAGAGCCCATCAAATGTCTCCACGTGGTGCTGCCCCCACGCCCGGCAAATGCTGTCCCTCTCAGGGCCGGCATTGTACACTGAGGGAGAGAAAAGAGAACCTCTCTGTGTAGCTACAGTGGGCACCAAGCCAGAGGCCAGTGGGTTCCAGCCTTGGAAGTGCTGCCCCTTTTCCCCCTAGCTTTCCTTGCACCCGTGGTCCCTTCCCAGGGGTGGGGTGGAGCCCAGACCCACCCATCTGGCAGCGTGGTCCAGTGGCATTGAAGCGTCTGCAGTCACAGAAGGCCAGGTGCACACACTCGCCTCCATTGAAGCAGGAGAACAAGTCTGCATAGGCGACACAGAGGCATTGCCCCATCAAGCTGAGATTGCCAGAACCCAGGGAGGCAGCCCTCTCAGGCTTCACAGGACCCAGATCCCCATGATAGGCAGCCCCAGCCCCAACATTCCTCAGCAGCTAGCACAAGCTGGTGCCTCAGACCACAGCCCTGCCCGCTCCCTGGCAGGCAGGCGGGGTGGGGTTGCAGGGCATCTGCCTTCGATGTGCATCAAGTGGGCCCCAGGCCAGCTGCACCTGGGCCTTCAGTTCCTAGAGCTGTTCCTGGTTAGCAAGCCAGGCAGGCGGAACTGAGAATGGGGAGCATGTGGGGTGAGCAGGGGTACTGCCCAGAGATCTGCAGCTGCTGCTCCTCCTCACTCCACACACTCAGGGAAGAGGCCACGGGGATAACCAGGCAACAGAGGAGAGGCCTGTAGCAAGAACAACCATAGATGAAGAGAAGACAAAAGCAGAGCAGAGGGTGGCGAGGGAAGGAGCCATGATGTGAGAGGACAGGTGGGGGACACAGGACAGGACAGGACAGGTGAGCGACACAGGACAGGTGAGGGACACAGGACAGGTGGGGGACACAGGACAGGTGAGGGACACAGGACAGGTGGGGGACACAGGACAGGTGAGGGACACAGGACAGGTGAAGGAGGTAGGAACAGACACAGGACAGGTGGGAGGAGAGGCCACAGACCTAGGACAGGTGAGGTGGGCCATGGACACATGACAGGGAGTAGGGTCTACAGAAAACACAAGATGAAGGGCAATGCCACAGGAAGTAGAAAGAAGCCACAGAACCAGGGTGAGATGGAGGGGGAAACGACCACTAAATAATGAAGCACAGTCTCACTGGAGTCAGCCTGTGAGAGGGGAGTCCTGGGCCATGGTCATAGGAACTGGACTCTAGAGAGGAAGCTCTCCTCAGGCAGGGAGAAGAATGCAAAATGGCATGGTGGCCGGGGCCGGGGTGGGTGGAAGGAGACGCCAAGCAGGAAAAAGGGGTCATGGAGGCCTGAGGGAAGCCCCACTGCCCTCTGCCCTTTCAGGCCTCTGCCAGGGCCCACCCATGGGCCACAATGAAGGTGCCACTTACAGGATGGTGCACACTTGGCCCGATGGAGCCGCCTTTCCCAGGAAGACATGGCCACAGAGTCTGGGGCTTCAGCCTGCTTGTGAAGACAGGAGGAAGAGAACACATCGAGGGCTGACCTCAGGTCGGGTTCCCGGGCAGGGTTCCTGATGACCACAGCCCTCCTTGTTCATCTTCTAGAGGGAGGAGCCCCTGCCCCTCAGTGCCCCAGCCACTCCTCGCCTGGCCCCTCGAGGGGCAGAGGAGAAGGTTTAGGCCTGCCCTGGGCTCAGAGGAACAAAGGCTCAGCTCTTACCTTCCCAAGTGGCATCTCTGTGGCAGACCATGAGGCCCGTAGCTAGAATACATCCCCTCCCCTCCGTGCCCCAATACCTGCCAGCCTCCTCTTCTTCCCTTTCTCTCAGTAAACCCTCGTGTCCTCCACAGCCTCACACACCATCCCCTTGTCTGGATAAGGAGCATGAGGCAGAGCTAAGGAACAAAGGCAGCCCCTCACCCCAGGTCAGGTGAACATCTCACCCTCACAGCCACCCCCACCCCAAACTTCCTTTGGGGCTCTTCCAAGAACAGCAAAACCAGCAGCCTACAGACCAACACCCCCTGTCCTCATAACTCAGCTCCCACAGACCAACACCCGCTGTCCTCACAACTCAGTTCCCACATATCAACACCCACTGTACTCACAACTCAGTTCCCAAAGACCAGCACCCACTGTCCTCACAACTCAGCTCCCACAGACCAACACCCCCTGTCCTCATAACTCAGCTCCCACAGACCAACACCCGCTGTCCTCACAACTCAGTTCCCACATATCAACACCCACTGTACTCACAACTCAGTTCCCAAAGACCAGCACCCACTGTCCTCACAACTCAGCTCCCACAGACCAACACCCGCTGTCCTCACAACTCAGTTCCCACAGACCAACACCCCCTGTCCTCACAACTCAGCTCCCACAGACCAACACCCGCTGTCCTCACAACTCAGCTCCCATAGACCAACACCCCCTGTCCTCACAACTCAATTCCCACAGACCAACACCCCCTGTCCCCACACCTCAGTTCCCACAGACCAACACCCGCTGTCCTCACAACTCAGTTCCCACAGACCAACACCCGCTGTCCTCACAACTCAGTTCCCACAGACCAACACCCGCTGTCCTCACACCTCAGCTCCCACAGACCAACACCCCCTGTCCTCACACCTCAGTTCCCACAGACCAACATCCGCTGTCCTCACAACTCAGCTCCCACAGACCAACACCCCCTGTCCTCACAACTCAGTTCCCATAGACCAACACCCGCTGTCCTCACAACTCAGTTCCCACAGACCAAACCCGCTGTCCCCACACCTCAGCTCCCACAGACCAACACCCCCTGTCCTCACACCTCAGTTCCCACAGACCAACACCCGCTGTCCTCACAACTCAGCTCCCACAGACCAACACCCCCTCACAACTCAGTTCCCAAAGACCAGCACCCACTGTCCTCACAACTCAGCTCCCACAGACCAACACCCGCTGTCCTCACAACTCAGTTCCCACAGACCAACACCCCCTGTCCTCACAACTCAGCTCCCACAGACCAACACCCGCTGTCCTCACAACTCAGCTCCCACAGACCAACACCCACTGTCCTCACAACTCAGCTCCCAACACCCCCTGTCCTCACAACTCAGCTCCCACAGACCAACACCCCCTGTCCTCACAACTCAGCTCCCACAGACCAACATCCCCTGTCCTCACAACTCAGTTCCCACAGACCAACACCCGCTGTCCTCAAAACTCAGTTCCCACAGACCAACACCTGCTGTCCTCACAACTCAGTTCCCACAGACCAACACCCGCTGTCCTCACAACTCAGTTCCCACAGACCAACATCCCCTGTCCTCACAACTCAGTTCCCACAGACCAACACCCGCTGTCCTCACAACTCAGTTCCCACAGACCAACACCCGCTGTCCTCACAACTCAGTTCCCACAGACCAACATCCCCTGTCCTCACAACTCAGTTCCCACAGACCAACACCCCCTGTCCTCACAACTCAGTTCCCACAGACTAACACCCCCTGTCCTCACAACTCAGTTCCCACAGACCAACACCCCCTGTCCTCACAACTCAGCTCCCAGTCAGGACTCCTGCCCTGACACCTCAGGTCTAAGGAGGAGACAGGCCAAGTGTGGCTAAGAAGCCCTATTTTCCAGACAGAACTCCCAGAGCATGGTCCTCCAGACATAAACCGCCTGAAATCAGGACTGTCTAACAACATGGGTGTTCAGTCACCACATGGCTAGATGACTTAGACACTGGCCCTTGGGAACTCCAGTCCAAGGTGTCTGATGTCACCTGGTACAGGCATCCTGGGCACAGTTGGCTCCTCCTCCCTCAGAGGCTCAGCCTCATTTGTACGACATCCCCAGAACCATGTGCCAAGCATCGTGTTAGGTGCAGTGAACAGGGCAGAGTCCCTGCCCTCGTGGAGCTCATGTGCTTGTTCACAGGGCCAACAAGCCACAAATCTCACTGTCATCCTCCCTCGTTCTCATCCGGCAAAGGACTTGAACGTAGGAAATATTCAGACCCTTGTTGCCTAGAGCTAACCTCAGCTCTTGACCCTACCCTAGCAGGCACAGCCTGGCCACCTCGTCCCTGACGCTCACACCCTTCATCTTCAAGATCTTTCTGACATCTTAGCCAGATTTCGGTGTCTTCACCTACATTGGTCACTGGTTCCTGGATTCTCCCTAGCAATCCTTATCCAGCCGACCCAGGCCCAGCCCCAGGAGTCAGGCTTCCCACCCGGGTACTAACCTATCTTACGGGGCCCTCAGAGACGACAGGAAATAGGAGAGGGCAGGGTCACAGGAAATAACCCACATCCTGTAGCCACCAGAGAGCTGTAATTAAACTCAGTCTTCGTGTCTTCAGTCTGCACTCCCACTTCAGATGTGGCCTCTCAGATTAATGAGTTATGAGGATGAGACAACCCCAGATGCAAAGAGTCAAAGCCATTTTCTAAAGGATTCCTTAAATCCTGTCCAAATGATTAGCCTTCAGGGGCTAATCAATCAGGTACTCTTAATCATTTTCATGCCATGAACCCCTTTGATAATCCAGTGAACCTATGTGGACACCTTCTCAGGATAATGCTTTTAAAAACACAAAATAAAGGATAAGGTTACAAAGGAAATCACTTATATCGCATGTCATCTTATGAAAATATTTTATAAAATGTGTAATTTAGTAATATTTGTGCTTCTTTAATAACTCATTAAATAAAAGATCTAGCAGTGGGCCTTATCCCTGCCAAAATTTTGAAGTAATAATGAACATAAATGATATCTTGAGATAGCAACAACTATAAGTGGTTGGAAAATATCTGTGATGTCTATTGGTGACAGTCAAAAACACTGCAAATACTCTTGTGGTTTGTAGACTATAATAATAACTGAAAGGGATGCTGAATTTCAGTTGGATTGAGGTTTCTGTAAGTAACAATGGGTTTTTATTTTCCCCCACCCAAGTTCATGGACCCCTGTCTACAAGAATTCTCTAGAAAATGGTTGAGCTCTGTAGAAGAAGGATAGCACTGAAGTGAAGATTGGCTGCCTACTGGTCTGCGGCCCACCCCCACTTCTTGAAGAGGGCATTCCAAACAGGAGCCGTTGAAGTATCCCTGGTACATGGGCCTCAGTCCCCCACCCCCCAACTCCTGTCACCTTAGAGGGAGGCCATTTTAATTCCTTGTTGCTCTAAGGAGCAGTGTGAGAAACCTCCCCAGGTTGCCTCATCCACTCACTTATGACCCTTCCCCAAGGAAAAGGGGGATGCCTACCCTGGAAATCAGCACAGGAGGATGCCTGCCGGGAACTGAAGTGTTGGAGAAGGGTCATCTCCCCCACTAAAACACAGGGATTCCTGAAGTCCTGTGTGTGCGGCCTGGCTCTGCCGGGAGACTGCTCCACCAGCTCATTGTGAGGCCCCTGCAAGTCATCCACCCACCTCAGTTTCCCTACCTACAAAAAAATGACTCCATTACCTTCCAACTCAAATGGTATTTGACTGTGATTCTAAATCTTAGGGCCTGAAGAGTGGGCAAAGCAGAAGTAAAAGACCCAGGAAATCCACATCAGAGAAGAAGCATGCCCAAACCATCCCCCCTCACTCCATCTTGGGGCCTTCATGTCTATTTCCAAAGGGCAGGAGTTGGGACTCATTGTTGTTATAAACGATTCTCCCCAACCTGCTGGCTCAAGGGGCTCCCCAGAGCTGACCACTGGGGCTGGGGCACTTGAGCGGAGGCTCAGTTGCTTTGGGAGACCTAACTGCAGGTGGGTGGAATTTATAGTCCATCTGTAGTTACAGAAAGAGGGAGACAAATGTGGGCCAGGATTAGAAAGTAGACCTGAGTCACCTGATCCAGAGACCAAAGAAGTTTGCCAAAGGGAGAAAACAAAACTGCCGCCTCTTCCACAAACACAGAGGACCCTGGGAAGATGGGCAATGGAATGGTCAAGACTCAAAGGATAGAGGCCGGGCTCAGTGGCTCATGCCTAATCCCAGCACTTTGGGAGGCTGACACAGAAGGATCACTTGAGGCCAGGAGTTCAAGACCAGCCTGGGCAACATAGTGAGACTCTGTCTCTACCCAAAATACTGAAAGTCAACCAGGCCTGGTGGCACACACCTATAGTCCTGGCTACTCAAGTAACTGAGGCAAGAGGATCACTTGAACCCAGGAAGTCGAAGCTGCAGCGAGCTATGATTATGCCACTGCACTCCAGCCTGTGTCACAGAGCAAGACCCCGACTCAAGGAAAAAAAAAAAAAAAAAAGGAAATAAAAAGGCTCAAAGGATAAGAGTTCAGGGCTCTGCTTCTCAACCAAACCTTCCTTGCACCTTCCACCGGGTGGCCTAGTTTTCGTCTTGCCTGCATTCCTGAGGCTCTGCTCAGGGTATGGAGAGGGGCCTCTGACACGGTTGAGGGCCTTCGCAGGTCAGTCAGGGAAAAGAGAACTCCATACTTCTAAACGTTCATCTTTCTAGTTTTACCTGCCAGAAGGGAGAGCTCAGCTCTCTCCTGAAAGAGCCCTGGTGCCCACCTCTCCCAAAATAAAAAAATAAAAAAATAAAAAAAGAGTGGGCTACAGACCCCCAAGAGATTAAAAAGAATAGAAGGGATTTATGAACTTGCACACCTCAGACACATACCAGGAACCTGTTTGTTCCCTTCTGAACAACTCCAGAGACCCCTCCTGTAATCTACAGAGCTCCCTGCCAGCCTCAAATCCAGACAGACGTGAGCTCCTGCCCAATGAAGCCCCCTCCCCAGACCCCCCTTACCTGGCCTCCCATCACTGTAACGGTGTCTCCCATGGCAAGGGTCACCTTCTGGTGGCTGCTGCTGGAGGCAAAACAAATCTGGCATGGATCACGAGCTAGGATGGATTATGCCTCCCTGCAGTCCCCAGGCCTATCCCACCTTAAGTGCTAAAGCCCTGGGGTGGCTGATGCCAGAAATACAGATGGGAGCTGTGGGTGGGGCCGCCACAGCTCAACCTACTCACCTGGGTTCCCCGGCTGGCTCTGGCTGCGGCTCTGCACTGCCCCATGGAGCAGGTGCTGCGGCTGGGTAGGGGGATTATTCTCCACTCAAATTGTGCTTCTCTTTGTTGGGGCCTCCCATCATCTGGCCGCACTGCTAGAAAGCCTCTCCCACACTACTGGGCATTCCCCTACTCTCCCTCCCTGCAGCCTTCTCAAATCCTTCCTCTCCCTTCCTGATGACCCTTCTCCAGCCAGGATCTCCCCCTTTCCTCTCACTCTTTGGCCCCTAGCACTCTCTAGTTCCCCATCTCAGGTCTCTTCCACCCAGCCTCGCTTGAGAATCTCCCCTCAAGGTCATAGGCCTGCCTCTGTTGGCTTCGGGGTCCCTCCTACCCTGACCGCTCCTCCTGGGGGTCCCTCTGCTGTCCCTCAAACCTCTCTCCTCCCTCTCTCCAACCTGCCCCGGCCCATTCCTCATTCCTTTAACATTTCTCATTCCTCGAGCCCCCAACCTCCCTGAGTCCACAACCCTCTCACCGAGACGCTGCACCCGCAGGGACTCGGCTGCCGGCTCACCCCAGGGCAGCCAGACACAAAGCAGCCAGCAGAGCACAGACGCCAGGACTCCCATAGGGACGCGAGGGGATCAGGGGACTTGAGCGCAGGGCCAGCCTCCCGAGGTGCCTCCCCGGGCCAAGGCAGGGTCACACCTCCACTCTGCAGCTGAGGTCCCTCTTGCTCTCATGCCCCAGAGCTCCCTCAGCCCCTCCTCCCAGGCTCTCAGCTCCTCCCCGAACTATAGAGTGACAGGAGTGCCCAGCTTATTACCATAATTTAGGCTCCTGTCCATAACCCAGCCTCTGCTCTTCTTGGCCTGTGGCTACGCCTCCCCAGGGGAGGTTGGATTCAAATTATTCAGCCCTAAATTCTCTAGGGGAGCAAAGAGGTAGCCTGTGCAAACTCCAGCTCCCCTTACCTGGGTCCTGGAAGCCCAATACCAGAGACCCAAGATGCGGGTATGAGTCTGACCCTATCCTCTCCTTTTACAGAGGGCCATGCTGTGGCCCTGGGACATGCCACTCAGGGGTCAGAGGTCAATAGCAGAGCCTGTGGAGTCCTAGCCTATGTCCCACCACGCCCCACCTCAACTTCCACCTGGGTCTCCACATCCCTATCCTGTGACCAGTTTTGAGCACCTCTAAGGAATGAACCATGCCTTAGTCCTCTGAATGCCCAGCACCATCTCCTGCCCTAGCTCAGGAAATGACGACTGAATAATAAATGTGTTTCATACTCCTATGTTGTTGCCACCATCAAGGCCAAACTTTGACAAAACAACTTTATATGCGTGAACAAGGTCCACTGTCTGCCCAAGAGGAATTTTAAAATGGTGAAAACATGGGACTGAGCACCTGGGGAACCTGTACATCGTTCACTTCATCAGCACTTAGGGAACACCAACTAAATGCCAGGTCTTACATAGGATGATGATGTTGGTGGTGGTGGTGGTGGTATTGGCCCCAGTAGACTCCTAGGCAAGGGCATAGATTTGAGATACATTCATTCATTCATTCATTCACTCAACAAATTTGTTTGGCATTGATTCCATGTCATGCATTGTTCTAGGCATATAGTGGTAAAGAAAGCACACATAGCTATCTTCACACAGGAGGAAGCTAGGGGCACAGATAGGCAGATGAAGAGGAAAGAGCTAAGGATGCAGCCTTAAGGAACACTGGTTAAGAAATAGGCAAAAGCTGATTGTCTCCAAGGAAGCTTGAAAAAAAAAATTCATGGAAAGGAGAACCAGGTCTCAATGCTATTCTCAAAACAAAGCGGGGGGCATTTTAAGGTGGAGGGAGTCTGTGGGGGTGATGACCAATGTAAAATAAGGATTGGGGTGGCAGGTGAACAGCATTCTCCTGGGTAAGAACATTCACTCACCTCTGCCAGGATTCTAAATACAAAATAAACAGCCATATGACATTCTTTTTCAATGTAGAGAATCAATGAAGTAAGTCAGAGGGCAATGCATTTTGTGTGGCCTTTTCTGGACCATTCAAAAATCCCACAAGTCTTTCCCTTTTATCACTGACTTAATAGTTAATACTAAGGTGAGAAAACAGATCATATTTTAAGGCTCTTCTTCAAGAGGGATTTACATCTTAAACTAGGCAATAATTTAGCCCAAACAAAAATAGTGTGCTTATAAAACTTCAGCTATTGGGGAAAGGGATGCAGAGGGGTGTTTAGGTGCCCCAAAGTTACAATTTTAAGTGGTTTCCTGATGTAAGCTGCTGTCCATCTCCCTGCCCCTGCGCTTGACAGGGTGCAAAGGGCGCAGGTGCCTCCCTGGGTTAAGTTCAGGCACAAGCCCCATACTTAACAGCCCCTGATTTACACGTTTTTATCACCCCTCTCCTAGCCCCTCTTTCCTTTCATTCCTTTCCAGGCCTGGTTCATCCTTGTCTTTGCACCCAGCACCAGACCTAGGAGTTAAGCAAATGTTGACCAAATTGAATTAAATGAACCAGAGGATCTGGGCCCTGGGTGAAGGTCAGCCATAGATCAAAATGTCACTGCCAGGCTCCGCCAGGCTTCGATGGATATGGGAGTGTGTTGGGTTTGGGTTTTGTTTTGTCTTGTTTTGTTGGGGGTGGAGGTGTTAGGGAAGGTGGGAGGGGAAATCACTTGAGAGGGCCATTCCCATACCCACTGGTTCAGACCCCTGCGGCCCACAGTAAAATCCGGCCCTGCCCCCAAGGAATTCACAGAGCAAGGATTGATTTCTCCCTGGTGGAAAAGTGCAGGAGGAAGCTAGGACAGAAGGTACGTTGAAGGTGAAGGCGTAGCAAGGGCTGACAGTCCAGGAGGGCCATGAGCCCTCCGGAGTAACCAGAGAAAACGGACTAGATTGCCCCGCCCCCTGCCCACCCGTGTGAATAGTTTCCGGATCTCTCTCTTCCAGTCATCACAAAAAGTCCCAAACCTCCTCCCTACATCTCCACGATCTTCTTCCTCAAACGCATGTGATCAGGTACCACGTCAAGAGAAATACCAGCTTGAAGCCCAGCTACTGCCACCACAGGCCCATAGGCACACTGGGCCCATTTGCTCCCAGGCTTCAGGGGGAGGCGACGATTGAGCACCGGCAACTCTAGCCTCGCAGCGGCCCCGCCCCACAGCGGCCCGGCCCCGCCCCTCCGCGCTCAAGCCGCGTCCCCAGCTCCGAGGGCGGCTGGCCGGGTCGCGGTCGCGGTTCCTTCCAGCTCCTGGCAGCCGGGCACCCGAAGGAACCGGTCGTTCAACGACACAGCTGGACCTGGCCCAGCCATGGACCGAAAAGTGGCCCGAGAATTCCGGCATAAGGTCAGAGCTGCGGGGCGCCCCAGGCTTCTGGGACTCCGGAGTCCTGGGCGCGGTGGGTAAGGGGTGGACACCCCGGCACTGCCCCTCCCTTTTCCGGCCCCACCTGATGGCTCTGGGTGGGCTGGGACACCCGAAGGTCGTTTGACTGGCAGCAGGGATCCCCAGTAAAGTGAGGGAGGGAACACGGGGACTCCGGGTTCAGGTACTGCTAAACAGATCAATCTTCTGCCAAGCTTTCTCCCTCTGCCAAGGGGCGGGGACGTCTCGGGGGTTTGAATTCCTTCCAGTCTTGGCCGCTTCTCTGAGGTGCCCCCTTTGTGGGCAAGTCCCTCTCCTTCCTAGTGCCCCCAGCTCAGGGCTGATGAGGCATGTGGAGAGAGTCTGGGGCAGTATCTGAGAGGTGAGTGTTGGGAGAAGGGAAACTAGACGTCTCTCTCTCTGCCTTTTGACCTCAGAACATGAGTTAGAAGCATTTCAGCCCTGCCTGCCTAAAGGCGTTTCTTAGGGCCTGAGAAGTAGCTGAGGAGCTGGTGCTAACCCGGGTGCGGTGGGGAGGAAGGGAGGAGGTATTGAGGGCGTGGGAGCTGGGCTCTGGCCAGCCAGATCCTTCAGGCAGAGCCAGGTCCACCCTGGCGTGTCCCAGTGAGGGGCCTCACTGGTGGTCTGGGATCCGAAAGGACCATCACTGGAAGCGGCTGGATTTTACACAGGGCATTTCCAGAACAATTCACAAAGCTATGCAGAATCTGCTGAGGCCCTGAGACCAGAGAGGATCATCAAAGATATCCAGCCGACCTCTTCACCAGGCCTTAGGATGCCTCTGAGTCTGGGGATGAAACCCCGGAGGGTTGGGGGAGTGGGGGTGGAATCTGGATCTCCCCACAGGCCCTGCCTGAGGGGCAGGTAACTATTAACAACTGTGTGACCCGAGGCTCTCCCAAAGACCTCAGGGGGGCGGTGTCTTTAGACCAAGCCAAACCTCTTCCTGGTCTGAGGACTGAGCTCAGGTAGGGAAGGTCAGGGTCCTTAACCCCTTCCTTCCCATAGAGAGGCCCATAGGAGCCCAAGGAGCCAGCCAGTGTAGGGGCCGCAGGGCCTTGGGGCCAAGGGCCCAGGGTCAATTATTCATTTAATAATCATGTTTTGAGCATCCTCTCAGCGATACCCAGTCTGTGCCCTCAAATTGCTGGTGGTGTAGGTGGGAAGCAGACCCTACTCTGGTAATTACCCATGTCTGGGTGCTGCCTGTTGGGGCCAAGCTTTTGTAGGGGCACAAAGGGACAGCTCAAACTGGCAGAAGGCTCCTGAAAACAAGGTCTTGGGCATCCCTGGTCCTGCTCCCAGGGGTGGGCGATAGCTGGAAGTTCAGTAGGAATTTAGGGGCTGGCAAATGCCAAGGGGAGCTTGAGAGAGCATTCACCGGTACATCCTGTTGCAAAGAGACATGTCGGAAGAAATTTCAGCCGCTAAGGACATATTGTGAGTGTAGATTTCAGGCAACCCAGTTTGAAGGAGCTCAACCTTCCGTCCCCCAACCCAAGACTCAGGGTTGAATTTCACTTTCCTGCCCCTGGCCTGAAATAATGTCAGGTCTTCTGCCTTCACTCTGTGGGGTACCTACTCTGTCTCTTTTGCAAGAATCGTCTCCTGGGTCCCTGGTGTCTGATGCAGACCCTGGGTTTGCCCTGTTCCTCTTCCCCAGGTCCCACAGGCTTCAAAGGGCCTCCGACCTCCATGTTTCCTCTGCCCTACTCTTCCTCATCACAAGAGTCATTACTTATTAATATCCCTGTGTGCCGGCAGGGCAGGCGCCATGTGCTAGGCAAGGCCCAGGCTGGACTTTGTGCCTTGCTGCCTTGGAGACAGCCACAGCCTTCCCCTCCCAGGTTGGGGATCATCCAGGAACTGGGAGAGAGGATGAAGCAGCAGGGGATAGAGAGGAGGCACTCAGATATGCTGGGAGAAATTTACAGCTTGCTGTTGTTTGCTTTGTAGGGGTACCTTCCTTAGTGTTTTGGAGGAAATGGTTTATGATCTAAATCCTTGGTTGTTGGAGGTAATATTTAAGGTAGTGTGTTATAATGGAAAATGCTGTGTGACCTTGAGCAACTCAATTAATCTCTCTGTGCCTCAGTGCTCTTATTTGTGAAAAGAGATAACAATATTTAACTAATAAGGTTATCATGAATGTTGAATGAGATCTACATGTGTGTGGGGAGCTTAAACAGACCCTAGCACTTAGGGAGCCCTCAACAAATGTCCACTGTTGTTTATTATCTGGAGTTAGCAGAACTGGGACCATATCTTAGCCCTGTTACTGTCAGGAAGACCTTGGCCAAGCCACCCGCTCTCCCTGAGTTTTAGTTTCTTCAGCTGTGAGATGGAGTTTGTGGTACTTACCTCACAAGACAGACAAGACTAACTAGCAATTAAAGTACTGGCTGCTCTGGGCCCACAGTAACCACACTGTTTCCAACTGATACCTGCAGAGTGTCCAGTGTGAGCCAACAGACTCCAGGCATCGACTCCTTTTGATTTGTGAAGTTACCCCAAGGTTGCCAGGAGCACTTGCATGCCCTTCCAATAACTAGTAGCAACCTTGGGCCAGGATTTGGGGGAGCAGGGCTTGGTCAGAGACTGTTTTCTCCCTCAGAGAAGCAGCTTTCAAAAGGAGACTGCTCCTCTGTTCGCAGCACCAGCACATGGCAGGAACTTGGTTACTCATTTGCTTAAAAGTATTTATTGCCTCTTCAGCAGTCACACATTTATGAGCATAGCTGTGTACTCTGCCTGAGGCCAGGCATTGGACGACGTGGTGGGATGAATAAGAAGATCAGAAACAGCCACCACTCTCTAGGAATTTGCTAATCATTCATTCATCCACATAGGCAATAAATATTGACTGAGTTCTCAATATATGCCAGGCAGTACTCTAAGCACTGAAAATCAAAATAATGCCCTTGCTCTCTTAGACAGTACATTCTAGTGGGGAGGACAGACAGTTAAAAGGAAATCGACAAAAGTATCGTGTAATGCCAGGTAGTGATAAATTATATGAAGAAATAAACTAAGATGGGGAGAGAGATAGTAAGTAACAAGGTGGGCAGTCAGGAAGGCCTCTCTGAAGAGGTGACGTCTGAGCAGAGACCTGGAATAAGTGAGGAGAGGAGCCACGGGGATACATGTAGAAGAGCGTTCCCCAAAGTGGAAGCAGCAAGCGCGAAGGCGCTGAGGCCAGCAGATGCCTGCCTGTATGGAACAGCAAGTAGGACAGCGTGTCCCAGAGGAATCATGAGTAGAGAATGGTGAGAAATGGGTCAGAGGGGTGATAGGGGCCTGATAGGCCATGGTTAGGTTGGGATTTTCTTATAGTGTGAATGATTTACATTTAAAAGGAATTGTTCTGGCTGCTCTGTAGAGAATCCACTGAGGGGCCCAAGAGTAGAAGGGGGACCTCAGTCAGGAGGCTCCTGCAGGACCCCAGGCCAGAGGCAGGGGCTCGGACTCGGGTGAGAATGGGTCAGATTCAGGATACATGTTTTTGCTGATGGACTGGCTGTGAGTGTAGAAAGAGAGGCATCAAGGGTGGATTCACATTTGGGGGAGAAGCAGCAGGTTGGTGGAGACAGAGCAGGAGGTGGTGGAAACCTAACATTCCACTTTGAATGCTGTAAGTTTGAGACACCTACTAGAGGTGACTGAGAAGGCTGTAGGTCTGGCCTGGAGATAAACATCAGTAGGTCCTTGGGGGTGTAAGTGGTATTTAAACCCCTGAGACGGATGAGTTCACTTAGAGAGATGGTGCAGATGGAGAGGAGACCCAGGACAGAGCCTGGGGCACCACAACTTTTGGAGGAGAAGGAGCAGCAAGTGAGGAAGGAGAACAAGAAGAAGCAGGGCATGATTGCTGTGCCAGGCACTGGGCAAAATACTACAAACTAGCTGACAGGTCAAGAGCCTCTGAAAAGATGAAGGGCACTGTTTATGGCCTTGATGGTGGTGATGCTTTCACACGTGCACGTCTATCCCCAAACTCATCAGGTTGTATACACTAAATATATACAGCATTTTACATGTCAGGCATACCTCAATAAAGTGGTTCCAGAAAAAGAAAAGAAGTCAGGTGCAGTGGCTCACACCTATAATCCCAGCATTTTGGGAGGCTGAGGTGGGAGGATTACTTGAACCCAGGAGTTTGAGACCAGCCTGGGTAACATAGCTATACCCCATCTCTACAAAAAATACAAAAATTGACTAGGTGTGGTGTTGTGCACCTGTAGTCCCAGCTACTTGAGGGGCTGAAGCAGGAGAATCAATTGAGTCTGGAGGCTGAGATTGCAGTGAGCTGTGGTCACACCACTGCACTCCAGCTTGGGTGACAGAGTGAGATCTGGTCTCAAAAAAAAAAAAAAAGAAAGAAAGAAAGAAAAAGAAAAGAGAGAGAGAGAAAGAAAGAGAAGAGAAGAGAAGAGAAGAGAAGAGAAGATGGATAATAAGAAAACAAGAGTTAACTAAAGCCTGGTACCACTGGGATGCACACTCTGAAGGCCTGGGAAGAAGTGTGGCTGGATCTATTCATCCCACTAACATCTACAGAGGGCCACTAGCTACCCACTGCTGTGGATATGGAATTTATATCCACTTATTCTCACTTAGTTTTATGTAACAAACACAGGACTTACTACTTGCCAGGCACTGTTCTAAACTCTTCATAATTATTAACTCATTAAATTAATACTAAAAAATTATTAGTCTCTCTTAGTGATTAAATCCCATTTTAAAAAGAGATGTTTGTGCCCATTTTACAGATAAGGAAACTGAGGCACAGAGCGGTGCAGACCCAGTTGGGGAAGGGGTTCTTTGGCTCCACCACCACACTCACAACCCAGGCCTGCGTCTGGGCCACACACAGGCTTGTGGGGAGACAGGGGGGTAAAAGGAGAAAGTTCAGCACAGCTTAGTGAGTCCCATGGGGACAAAGAGTTGTTTGTGTGCACAGA